TACTGGGTCTTGTAGGTTGTCACAAGAGTTTGAAATTTTTGATGATAGTCATTTTTACTTGACTAAGATGGAACCTCAGAGTTGTCCTGATTCGCATTGAAAATGTGGTATTTATACACAATGGAGTACTACTCAGCCATAGAGAAGGTTAAATGTTCATCATTTGTATGAAATGAGACTGAAATACTAAGTGAAATAAATTAGACACAGAGGATTAATTATCATATAGTTTCTCTTATAAGAAAAACCCAAAATATAAATAAATTAAAGAGAAAAATAAACAAGAAATAATAGGAAACAGGGAGGTAGACTTTTTGGAAATGGGAAGGAGATGTAGGAAAGGGAGAGGTGGGTATAATGGTTAACTGTGGGGTCGACTTGAGTAACAAACTCCAGCAGGATTAGTAAACACGGTTCTGGGTATGTCCGGATGACTGACTGACTGACTGACTGAGGAGGGAAGACCCACCCGGGCGTGGGTGGCACCAACCACTAGGCGTACAGCCTGGATGGAATACAAGGGAGAGGAAAAAGGAAGTCTCGCTTTTGCTCCTCCAGAGGAGCTCCAGTCTCCACCTTCGCCCTTAGCTGTCCATCTCCAGGCTGCCAGGGCAGACCCCTCACACGGGACTCTGCAGGGAGCTCCAGGCCTTCGACTTCTGCCTGGATCCTCCCGCTCTCCACATGCAGACGGCCATTTTACACTCTTCCACCCCTGACTCTGCAGGCGGCCATTTTGAGCCTGCATTGTAAATCTTTTATATATCATATATCCATACATATGTTTTAACATTAAATCTGATTCTCTAGTGAACCCTAATCAATACAGTGGGGGAGAAAGAGAAGTAAAAATGATGAAGATGCAATATGCTAATGTACTAATTCCCCAAAAGTGAATGTAATTATTATACATCACAAACATACTAATAAAAATAAATTTACAAAAGGATTCTGGATTTTATAGCAACTGTAAGGAGCCTTGGAAGGTTTCAGTAAGCATAGCAGCTTTATCAGAGATGCATTTGTTGAAGGTTTCTCTGGCTTTTTTTGGAAGAACAGACGGGGCAGGAGACAAAAGAGGAAGTAGGGAGATTAGACAGGCTGTTGCTGTAGACAATTGAAACATCATCGAAGCCTAGTGGGACGAGAGGAGGTAGAAAGAAGTAGATGAATCGGAGAAACAATACTTGGAAAGAAAGTTCAAGTGCAGAGGAGCAAGTGCGAGGGGGATGTGTCCAGACTGTCAGCTGAGCAGCTAATCACATACCCTCAGAAACAGTCTTCCACGACCATCTCAACATCCAAGCCTGCTTCCTCCTGAAATAAGAGCACTACTACTCTGAAGGATCCTGTGCTGCTCAAAGAGGAGGGTGCCTGGGAAGCACTGACAGTCAGTGCTGAAACTCTTTTCATTCTTTTTATGACCCCTCTTTGTTCCATATTCTCCTCCTTGTCTTTTGTAACCCGGTTTTTCATCAGATGAGCCATGTTCCATCCCGTCTTTGTCCACGCACTAACCCCATCCAAATGTCCTCTCTATTCCATTTTTGCAAGACCGAGGTTACCCTTCCTCAGGCCACACCTCTCCCAGCAGTCACTGACTTTATGATTCAAGGCAATTTCTCCCGCAATGCTGGGCAAAGGTAAGTCATTTAAATAGTGTGCTCTATTTAACAGCTTAGTGGTACATTTTGATTGCAACTTGGTCAACTAGACATGGTTTTTCTGGTTCTCATCATGGTTGCGAATGCATTTGCTCAAATAAATAAAGAATAACTCCTCCAACTAGGTATCCTGTTATGATTCATTCTTGTTACCCGTGCATAGTTCTCAGGAAGAGTCACCAGGATGAGGCAAATGGTGTTGGCTCCCCCACAACAAGGAGATGTCATGGAAATTTCTAAAGTGTGAGCTGTTGGCTATTTTCAAGGAGACTCGTTGCAATTTCTTGGGCCAGGAAACCCAAGGTTTGCAGTAGCTGCTTCTGGATAACTCCTCAGTTAAATCTGTTAAGGAATTAATGAATAAATAAAGCTTTAAATTAATTGGAATAATATTATGCCAACACCAATTTCCAGGTTTTGATGATGCAATGGGGTTATGTAGATGTTATTGATGGAAGCAAATGATGGGTATAAAGAAAATTTTTGTACTATTTTTGTTACTCTTGTGAATCCTAAACTATTTCCAAAATGAGAGGTTATAATTTTAAAATCTAAACGCAATTTTAAAAATTAATTATGGCAATCCAGCTTCAAAACACTCTGTGGTTGGTTATACTTCTGCATGCCTTGAGGAGGAACAAAATATATTCATGGAGCTAATAACTATATTTCTATCAACAATAGACCACACACTGTGCCGTAAGTTTATATTGGCTAGTAATGCCGTAGCCATCTCAGTTTGTGTAACTACACACTATGATGCTCCTACAGTAGGGAAATAACCTAATGATGCATTTCTCAGAATGTATCACTCAGAATGCATCACATGTATCATTAAGTGATACATGACTGTACTTCATGAGTCATCAAAGCTGCAAAAACAGAAGTTTTTATACATTACACGAAAAACCAGGTAGACATAATACAGTATTATAAAAATGCCTCCATTGACAGAGCCCAAGTTTCCAGCCCATTATCCCAGAAGTTCCTGTGGTGGGGATAGTTCTCAGATGCAGCGACAAAGCTCATCTCCAATCCCAAGGTTCTGGGCACCATGCAGAGACTCCCACCAAGCCACCCTGCCCCAGGACCCTGCCTACCTTCCACAGCCTCAGTGCCTCAAAGTTCACTGAGCCAAACAGCAGATCACACACTTGTTCTCCCATAACCTTTGCTCAAAGTTCCCCAAGCCTGTTTACAGGTAACAAGAATTTTTAAAGCAGCTAACATTGATTGGTCACTTCTTAGCACTTTACATCCCTTATCTTGCTTAATTCTCACAACTCTGACCTAGAGCTAGATAAGGAATCCACTCTGCAACCAGCAAGCTCTTGTGGCAAATAGGTCCTACCCCTCCCCGCCCTCTCTCCTTACTCCTCTGGAGACCCTCTGTCCTCCTCCTCTGGGGCCGAAGCATTTATAAGGGAAAAATCATTCCATCTCTCAGGTGTGGAGGGAGGAGAGAAATCCCACCTCCACCTCAAAGTGTGAAAAATAAGCTTAACCACCCCTGAAACAAGTTTTCAAATGCCTTTGAAAAGACTTATAAATCAAATAGGATTTGTGCATCTCTCAACTCTTCAAAATTAACATGTATGCACCTGAAGTTTAAGCAAAGAAATTCATTAAACAAACAAATCTAAAATCATAAAGCCCAGATTTAGAGATTTATCCCCTCACTCTAATAAATATCCAATTCAGATACCATTTTGCCTTCAAAGAGCCCTGCAGGTTCTTACCTTTGTTATCTTTCTGTGCTTTTCCCAGAAATATTACATCTTTGAAATGAAGAAAAACATTACTCCCAGAGCTAAAACAGAAAAGGCTTTGAACTATTTTAGAGATAAATCAACTCACAGTTACTGATAAACCAAAAAGAATAAAAAAGACTATTTCAAACCAAGTTGGCCCCTTTTACATATATTCAACTGTCAATTTCCAAATCAGCCTTAGAATACACACATACACAATCAAATTCTACTGAAATGTCACACAAGCCCCCATTCAATCAGTTCGACAATGTAATGGTTGTCAGTTAAATAAATCTCAAATCAAGCTTCTAATAGACCCTGATGCAGGCAGATATTACAAATCCCATACAACCTCTTTCACCAACAATAGCATTCCTTGTATACTAGATGCAAATTTACCTTAACTTTATTTAACTTTTAAAATGCTTCCCTGGGCTGAGTTGCTGAATTCTGTAATAAAGAATAATGGATCCCCTGATGGTCTCCAAGCACAGGTGCTCTGAGTGTGCACTGCACCAAGGCATCTGGCTAAGGTGATGAGTGAGGACACAAGTCCAATCCATGCTACGGTTAAGCCATCTCACCTGGTCTAGAGGTTCTCAACCTGGGGGAGTGGATTCTTTTGACATTCATTCACTCCATCCAGAGGAGTCACTTTTTGAAGTTCCTCTGAAAAGAAATGGCATCGCTTTGGAATTCACTCAAGGGAACTTAGGTGCCAGCTCCAGCCTTGGACAGACCCCCCACTCCCTGGCTGCCTCCTGTGCCATCCACATTGGAACCTGGAGGTGGAAATGGGCTTTTGTGCATAGCCACCTCTTCTCTACACTGCCTCTCAGCTTCCGCCCTTATTTTAAATGCTCAATTCCTAGTCCCCAGTATTACAAGTACAAGACTCATTCTTTCTGATTCTTCTGTTACAGAGAGATGGAGGTACAGCATGGGCAACTCTCAACACAGATTGTTTTGTAAAACACTGGACATGATTTCGGAGATGAAGAAAGTTCCGTTACAGATGAAAGCACAAGGAATACAAGGAACCTCGGTATAAGTAACTGAAAATCAAGTTCCTGTCTTACTGTATCACATGAAAACCGCTGGGCAGATTTCTACTAAAGTTGGAAAGTACAATCTTGAAGGTTTTGATTTGAAATACAGGACCCATTGTACATGGAGAATTTACTCTGAAGACTGCTAGAAGGGACTCGAAGGGATGAACCGTCACTCTGTCATTTTATGATCAGGAACACGTACAGCACAGATCAGAATGCTGTCAGGAGAGGAAACCAGCCCTGTGTCCGATAGAAGCCCGAGTCCTCTGGGCCAGGCACCACCATCAAACACAGAGGCCAACTTTGGTTTTTAGCTGCTTCTTACATGGGCAATTCTGTATTTCCTATCCCTGGGAGGAGTTCGGCAAAGACACCCTACTAAATGATCTTTTACAATTCTCTGGGCAATTGCCTGAGAGACTGAGTGAAAAGCAAAGGATGGTTGTACAAACAAGGAAATGTTTGTCTTTATTTGCCCAAGACCAGAATCACCAATGTAAAAGGAACCCATTTTAATCAATTTGGAAACTTACCGTGTCATTGTTTACTCTGTTTGTAGGTTCCTGGTGTCTTCTTAATAGTATTGTCCTATGCAACACACAATGACTTCTTGAACCTGTAGTAGCTTTTCACTCATCTATTCAACAAACAGTTACTGGACATCTGTTATGAGAGGTGATCAAAATATACAGTGAATGTTTACATTTTTAAAATGTATTAAGGTAGACGACACATTGCCATTAATACCCCTCGAATACTCCCCTCACTTCAAATACATTTGCCCCACTTTCTGTTCTTGCTACTTTCTGAAATAGGTCTGGAGTTCCTCTTTTATGAGAATCTTTACCAGGTGTGATCAAAAATGTGCTGAATACTCCTGCCGAGCGCCATCCAAAGGAAAGGCAGCTCACAAAAATATTAGTGTGTCCTCCCCCACCGTATTCACCAGATCTGGCACCGTGTGCTTCTAGCTCTTCCCCAAAGACAAAATGACCATGGAAGGTAAGCACTTTGAATCAATTCAGTACCTTGAGGCAGTCATGACGGCACAACTCATGAAAGAGGACCCCAGAGCTGCTTCACAAAGAGGCAAGAATAATGGGGCAAGTGTGTTTGAAGTAAGAGGAGAGTATTCTGGGGCAGAGGGAGATTAATGGCACTGTGTCTTTCACTATAATAAAAATTTTAAATTTAAACATTATATTTTTCAATCATGTTTCACATGTGTCCACCACTGTTCTGGGTACTGAGCATGTATCATGAACAAGACAGACAAAATTCCTGCCTCATAGAGCTCACATTCTGGGATGGGAGCAGGGAAACAGCTGTCCTTTGCTTTTCACTCAATCTCTCAGGCAATTGCCTGGAGTGTTGTTAAAGGTCATTTAGGAAGCTAGCCTTTGCAGAATTCCTCCCAGGAATAGGAAATACAGAGTTGCCCATGTAAGAAGCAGCTAAAAACCAGTAAATTGTGCAATAGGTCAGGTGTGCTATGGAGAAAAATTAAGCAGAGAAGAAAACAGAAAGTGTCAGGAATGCACCGTCAATGTGGGGCGGTCAGGGAGGTGACTGGAAGTGACTTTAGATAGAGCCAAGGCCTAAAGGAGATGTAAGTCTGAAGCCCTGAGGGGATCCAGTGAAAGGGGCTCAGAGGCACAGGGGACAGCCAGTGAGGACTGCCCTGGGGCAGGAGCTGGTCTGGAGTCCAGACACACACGCGGCCAGGTAGCTGCAGGAAGGGGGTGGGGCTGACACCCAGCAGGTGGCGAGCAGAGTGAGTTGGTCCTGTAGCGACTGTAAGAACTTTAGCCTTGACTCTGAATAAGATGAACAATCATGGCAAAGTTGCAAGCTGAAGAACCTGCTTTTTTTCCCCATTTGTCTTGAAGCAACATATAGCTGTCTCTCAGTACCTGAAAGGAACTGGCTCCAGAATACTCTGGATATCAGGATCCGAGCATACTCAAGGTCCACGTATAAAATGCCATGGCCTCTGCATATAACTTATGCACGTCCTCTCGTATACTTCAAATCATACCTGACAGGATGTAAACGCTACATAATATGATGTATATCTCAGTGGTGGATTAACTCAGAGTCAGCATGAGTGGGGACAGCAAGCTGAACTGTGTCAGCGTAGCCCTGGGCCACCCTGGGGACTGTGGCCAGCGGCATAAAAGGACAACAAGCATAAAGGGAAGTTTGCACGCTGGTGATTTTCTTGGAGAAGCTTTCCATGGGTGGTTTTCCTGATGTGAACTCGGCTGTCTCATCCTCAGAGGAGCTCGGTCCTCGCTGCCTCTAGGGTGGCTGCTGCTCCCCTTGGGGAGCTCTGCTCTTCGCCTTGGCCGTGGCTTCCTGGCTCCAGTGCAGATCCCTCAGGCGGGTGGCACAGACTTTCTGGCTTCTACCTCTGGCCCTCGGGCCTTCCTGGTGCAGATCCTCAGTATGGACCTGCGGAAGACGTTGCTGTAGGCTCCAGGCCTTCAGCTGGATTCTTCAGGCCTCTAGCGCAGACAGACCTCCTTTTTGCGTTCGGCTACATCTGACTGTAGAAGCACTGACTAATACAGTGTCACACAGTGTCTCATAAAGAACAATAAGGGGAGGCCAGGGATTTAGCTCAGTGGTGCTGGCGCCTGGCTCGCAAGTGCAAGATTCCAAGTTCAATCCCCAGTACCAAAAATATATATATATATTTTTTTCAAGCCATGTTGGTTGAATCTGCAGCTGTGGGACCCACACAGAGGCTGGCCACGCTTCTCTGACTCTGAAAAGACTGTGGTGTGTTGCTTACTCTTTGCTGTGTGGCAGCCAAACAGCATCACACTCACGACTGGATAGGACCTGGCTAATAACACAACTCACCCAAATTCAAGTTTTTCTTATATATATGCTCTTTTAACAGCTCTGAGCTACACTTCATAAACTATAAAATTCCCCCATTCAAAGCTTTATAAGTCAGTGCTTCGTAGTGTATTCAGAGTGCAGCCATCGCCACAATCTATTTTAGAACATTCTCAAGGCTCCCAAAAGAAATCCTGTCCCCACTATCAATCACTTGTCATTTGCCCAACCCTTCTCACCACTAACCCAATACTAGTCTGCTTTTTAATCTCTATAGATTTGTCACTTCTGGACATTCCATGTCACTGGAGCCACACAACTCGCCTAATACGGGCCTGGCTTCTTTCACTCAGCATAAGGTTTTCAGGATCCGTTCATGTGACACCATGTCTATTTCACTTCCTTTTTTAAACATTGTTCACCATTTTCCACAGTACAGTTCAGTGACATTAAGTACATTCACGTTGTTGTGTAACTATTATCACCATACATCTCCAAAACTCTTTTCATCTTTTAAAAACTAAAATTTTGCACCCATTGAGCAATAGCTTCCATTCCCCACTCTCTTCAGCTATTAGAAACCATCCTTCTACCTTCAGTCTCTTTAAATCTGACTACTTCGTTCTTTTTTCTTGCTAAATAATATTCCACTGTGTGGATATATTTCATTTTGTTTATCCATTCAATGAACCGCATTTGGGGTGGTTGACTTTTAGCCATTATTAATGATGCTCCAACTTATTTTTTTAGAGTATCATTCTCATTTTACATTGAAACAGACCCTAGAAGGGGGTAAGTTAGCCAGCTTTCCGTTACTATAACAAAATATTTGGGATAATTATAGAGGAAAGGTTTATTTTGGTTCTGCTATGGAGGTTTCACTCCCTGACTGGCCCCATTGCTTTGGGGCCTAGGGTCAGGCAACACATTATGCCAAGACTGCAAGGAGGAGGAAGCCCTTTCCTTCAATCCCGGAAATAAAAGAGAATGCAGAAGGAGCGAGTCCCACGCTCACCTGCAAGGGGCGCCCCCTAGTGGTCAGAAGTCTCCCTCTAGGCTCCGCCCCTTAAAGCGTCCACCACCCCAACTGTGTCAAGCTGGGAACTAAGTCTTCGACACACTGGCCTTTTAAGATCCAAACCTGAAAAGGAATCAAGCCAGAGAAGGAAAAACAGGAGGTTCTCTCAGGAATCCCTAGGAGAGCTGACAGCGGCCCACACCTGGGGGAGAATAGTCAGAAATGGCCACATGCTGGTGTATTTTTACACAACTCGTGCTCCTGGTGTTTTCCCTGCTTCTTTTTCCTTTTTTAACCATGACTATAATTACTTCACTGCATTTTTCTGACTTATTGGAGCACATGTTTGAAACTCTGATATAAACACCTACATTTATCTTTCTTGCTGTGTTAGGTATTTAACAAAGTCTGAGCTCTCCCAGGATTTGTCTGCATGAACAAACCACATCCAAATCTATAAAAGGCAGCTCCACTGTGTCTCTATAGTTCCACTGCAAAGATTTCACAGTCTTGATCTCTAAAATTAATTCATCAAGTTCAATGTATATGTACTCTTGAATTCTTTTCTAGCTTATATTTTTCAGCAATGTTGCTAACTACATTTCTGTGACATCCTTATCTAACACACTGGTTCAGATGTCAGAACGCATGGGAGTTTTAAAAGATTTTCTCCAGTGGGATGAATTTCTCTTTCATATGTGCAATGATAACTTGATCTGAACATGGCTAGCCAATTTTCTTTGCTAGATTAAAATTTTGTTTGTATGCATTTCTTAACAACTTTAAGCTATTGAGTAGCAATATATGCAAGAAAAAGCTGAGAGACTCATGTAACAAATATATTACCTGTTTATAACCTGTCCTATGTAGCCCAGGGTGGCCTCGAATTCACAGCAATCTTCATGCCTCAGCCTCCCGAGTGCTGGGATTACAGGCATGCACTGCCATGCCCAGCCTTCATGACATCAGTGAAAAACTTGATCAGATGAAACAGGCAGCATTAATTAACTTGATTCAGGCTATGCTGAGGTGAAGTGCCACCTCAAATCACAGGGGTTTGAGGGAAATTTCTATGGATTTTCCTTTCAACCTTCTGGGATGCATTCTTTGATACTAGATGTGTGAAACCCAGGAGTCAAGCCTAACAAAAAATGGATGGCACACTCAAATTGGGTAACTGAGAGCAGTTTAGGGAAGAGACCATTTCCAGAAGCGTGAGTGAGGTTAAGAGAAAACAAGGAATGTGAAATACCCTGCAATTATAAACTACAGGGAACTCTTACCCACCAGGTCTAAATGCAAAGGGGAGGGAGAGATGCCTGGATTGAGAGAGCTTAACTTTCAGAAAGATCCTCCCAGCAGGAGCTTGTGGGCTTCAAGGAGGAAGAGTCACTGCCGACCCTCAGGAATAAGAACCCTGACTTCCCTTTCCACCCTCCAACCTCCTGCTGGGTTTCCCCTGGCCAATCACAGCTGGATCCAGAGGTAAAGAATCTTAACAATGTTCTCAGGGCAAAGCAAAGCTGGGAAGAGTACAGGGTAGATTTGTAGACAAAGGCAGAAGGGATCCAAAGCATAAACAAAAAGCCAGACACTTGATACAAGCTTTTTTAAAGGAGGGAAATCATAAAAATTCTTCTGGGAATGAGGCTATCTAGACTCTCAGAAGCTGGAATTTAAAATTCATATGCAGAAACACAAAATAGCTTAAAAGCTATGAAAGTTTTCTCTGGAAAGGAAAAAGTGTCCTTGGCACTGGGTTTAGGGGGATCAAAGTCCTGTGTTGGTCAGTTTTCCATCACTAACAAGATCCCTGAGATGAACAACTTACAATGAAGAAAGGTTCACACTGGCTCATGGTTGCAGAGATTTCAGTCCATGGCTATTTGGCCTTGTTGCTTCTGGCTTGTGGTGAGGCAAAACATTATGATGGGGAGCATGTGGTGGAGAGTTGCTCACCTTGTGGTAGCAAGGAAACCAAGAAAGAGAGAGGAGAGGCCAGGTCCCAATATCCCCTGCAAGAGCATGCCCCCAGGGACCTAGTGTCCTTCCACTAGGCCCCACCTCCTAAAGCCTATACTGTCTTCCAACAGTTCCATCAGCAGGGGACCAAGCCCTTACCCATGAGCTTCAGGGGACATTTAAGACCCAAACCCCCAAAAGCCCGCAGCCTCAGCAGTACCCTGCTACATCTACCAAGAAAGCATTCCCCAGTACCTGGAGTGAGAAATACTGGAGCACCTGAAAGAAGCGAAGTATCCCTCCCCTTATCCTCAGGAGACACATTTCAAGACCCCTAGTGGATGCCTAAAACTGCAGATAGTACTGAAGCCTACATGCACTATGTTATTTCCTATATGTACATACTTATAATAAAGTTTATGTTAGGCACAGTAAGAGATTAACAACAATAACTAATAACCAAATAAAATGTACTCTAATAAGTTATGTGAATATTCTCTCTCTCTCATTTTATTTTACCCTTTCACTTAAAAGAAGCACCTCAAAGCTTCTCTGGCATGTCTGAATTGTCAGCATCACTACTCTCATGCTTTGGGGGCATTACTAAGGAAAATAAAGTTACAAGCACTTTGATACCATGGCAGGGCTACTAAGTGACTAACAGGGGAGTAGCATATACAGCATGGATACACTGGATTGGGGGATGATCACATTTGGGACAGAACAAGATTTCATCATGCCATTTGGAACAGCTAACTCAAAACCTATGAATTGCTTATTTTTGGAATTTTCCATTTAATATTTTTGAAATCACAAAGGGGAATTACATACTATACTCCTACCCAAAACTAAGGGCATTGTTGGAACTACAGGCTGGGCCCTGCAGAAATGGTCTTTGTGCATTGCATGAGGATACTTCGAGAGTAGCAGGCCTGGGAGGAGTGGGGGGTGAAGAACTTTAACAGCGTGTTCACAGGGCTCGATATTAGGGTTCAGCTTTGTTACAGACCATCTCCTCATTTCTGTTCTTTCATTTCTATAGCTAAGTACTTGACAAGACCAGTATGAGTGTTTGGCTATGGGGATAGTCACGGATGCTAAATCCCTGACCAGATGCCTGCAAGGACAGAAGACCCTGCCATTTGTGTGAGGCTGCTGGATGCTGTGTAGAGAAATCAGACTTCCTGAGAGCAGGCTGCGGCATGAGCAAATTCAGGCCACACCAGAACTAGAGGCCCCTCCCCTGGAACTCCTGACCTGAGTGAAGATAAGTGAAAGATGACATTGGCTGCCCTCAGGGTTCAGGAAGTCAGGCCAGTTGGACTAGTGGACAGGCATCCAAGGGAGCAAATCTGGAGTAAGTAAAGTCTGACTCAGCCCCTTGAGGCCTAATGCTCAGCAAGGGAGGGCCCAGGTGGGTGGGAGGAGCAAAGTTCCTTCCCCTGATTAGAGTCCTCTCCAGAACAAGCCCCCAGGCTCAAGGCAAAAGCTTCGCACACTATTTGCTATTTTGTCACTCACGTAAAGAAAGTTTTCAGACACAGGGTCCCTGTAACCATGAGGCACTCAGGTGCACCAGGCCCAAGCTCAGGGTAAAGCTGAGTGTTAGGACCCCATGAAGCTGAGATGCTCACACTGTTTGTTCTCATCACCAAGAACATGGGCAGTTTGTGACCAGCTGCATCCACAGTAACAACTACTGGAGGACACCCAATAATGAAAGAAAATAAACAGCCAGGCATAGTGGCACATGCCTGTCGTACCAATACTCCGGAGGCTATGGCGGGAGGACTGCGAATCCCAGCCCAACCTGGGCAGTTTAGTGAGGCCTGCCTGGAAAAAGGCTGAGGATGTAGCTGCATGCAGAGACCTGTGTTCAATACCCGGTACCACAGAAAAGGGAGAAGGGGAGAGAGGGACCGAGAGGAGGAGAAGGGGGCCTAAAATAAAGAAGCCACCCCAGGTGCTTGTAAACAGCAGAATCTCCAAACTAACCCTGCTCAGGTACCTGAATGGTCTGGGGATGGACCTGTAGGTGGGATTTGATCCAGGCTCCAAAATGTCTCACCAACCCAGTGTTTCTGATGCTATTTCTAAACGGCATTTTTCTTTCTTCATTTAATCCCATGTCTTCCTACAGGTTCTCTTCTCACCATTTCAGGGTGGCTAGCCGGTTCACTCCGAAGGGAGCTCGGGCTCGCTCTCTCTCTCCCTCCTTCCTCCCCTCTTCCCTCCATCTCCCCCTCTCTCTTTCCTCTCTCCCTTCTCTCCTCTTTCTCCTCTGTCTTCTTTCTTCTTCTCTTCTCTCCCCTCTTCCCCCCCTCTTTCTCCTGATGTTGATGAAATGTCAGGCTATAACCCTAAAGCTGAAGGGCAGCATGAGAGAAGGAAAGAAGTCAATTCTGAAAGAATGCAATGTTAAGAGACAGCAAACAGGAGATCAAATCCTTGTAACTTTCCTTGAGTCCCTGGATCCAGCTAGGTCCAGATGCAATGAGTCAAGGACCCCTGGTGCACCTATGGGTGCAGGGCGACTCCCATCAGCTTAGAGCCTGGCATGGGGGAGGGAGGAGACCTGGTGTCAGGAGTCCAGAGCATGAAGGTGAGGACAGTCTTGAGGGTAAAGTCCGCCCTTATGTTTAGGATGCACTGAGGAGCCAGGGAACAAAAGGCCAAATCAAATCTTTTAGGACAATGTTCCTCAACCTGCAATGATATAACCTTTTGCAGGAGGCACCAGGATGGGAACCAACTGTAGCAAGGCAATACAGAGAGAATGGAAGACAGAGAATTTCGCAGCCACTGTTACTTTTTCTAACTGGCATTGGTGTCATGGGAAGAGAGCCGTGAAGGGCAAAGACCCCATGGATGTTCCACTTCCTCCCACTTTCACCTAATGCAGAGCCACGAGACACAGCCCCACGACGCCCACAGGCCCTGCTGATCTGGCTGTCATCTCTCCAACCTCATTTCTCACCTCGTCCCCTTCCCACTTCTTAGTCGCAGCCTTGTGGTGACCTTGCCTGTCCCCAAGCACCTTAAGCTTCCATCCTGCCTCTGGGACCTTGCACTTCTCTCCTGCCTCGATTCTTCTCTAGATGGATGCCTGGCCTCCTGCCTTCCGTCAAGACTCTGCTCCATCACCATCTTTTAACAAATGCCTTCCCTGACCACCTGGTTCCTAATTAAAGTTCATTCTCTACCACTCCTTTCACCTAGAGTGCCCAAATTCTCCATTCCTTTTGCTCCATAGTATTGATTACAATCTGATATGTAAGATGTGATCAAAATACATGATGAACGTTTAACTTTTAAAAGTTTATTGTAGCAAAATACAAATTGCTGTTAATATCCCTCAAAATATTACCCCTTACATCTAACACGCTTATCCCATCATTCTTGCCACTTTGTGAAGCAGCTCTGGGGTCTCTTTTGTGTCTTTACAAGATGTGATCAAAAATATGATGAGCGCTACTGCCGAGCACCACCCAAAGGAAAGGCAGGCTGTGAAAAACATCATGGCGTATCCTCATCCACCTTATACACCAGACCTGGCCCCTTGCGACTTCTGGCTCTTCCCTCAAAGTCAAAATGACCACGAAAGGTAAATCTTTTGAACCACTTCAGGGAACCAAGCCAGCCATAAGAGTGCAACTAAAGACACTCACAAAAGAGGACTTCCAGAGCTGCTTCACAAAGTGGCAAGGACGATGTGTTCGAAGCCAGGGCAAGTATTCTTGGGGGGTAAGTGTGCAGTTAATGGTAACATGTCTTTTACTGTTATAATTTCTTAACTTAAACATCCCCCAAGTTTTTGATCATTCCTCATACGTATGTGTGTGTTTACTGTCTGCCTTTGCCACCCTCCAGCAGAGGCAGAGTTTTAGGGCTCACTGCATCTGTTCACCCAGCACAGGGCCTGGCAGAAAAGTCAGTTTCCCACAAATTTTTGTAAAACGAACACATTGCAATCCTCTATCTTCCCTCCCCTGGAGTGGAGCCAAAGATTCCTAGTCTTTACCGGGCTAAAATTCCTACTGAGGTCAGTGTAGTGCAAGGAAAGAAGTGGGTTTACTCATATATTCAACAACTATGGAAGGGACACGGACCAAAACTCAGCCTACTGGGAGCTGTGGACAGTGGCGGTGAGCAGGACAGAGAAAGCTCCTGGCCACAGGAGCTTGTTTTCTGGTGGGATAGGTCCTGAGGAGTAGGTGTGTCCGTTCCTCCAACGCCACCCTTTCCAGTATGACAGGTCCCACAGCTGGCCTGGGCACCAGTAGGAAAACACCAGACTGCCCATCCCAAGGTGCCAGGGAGAGTCACAGGGGAGCACAGTGGACAGTGGGGTTTCTGAGGGCTTGACACGGCAGAGAGAAGGTGAAGATGGTACAGATACCTAAAGGACAGCTCAAGGACAGACTCTGACCTCAATCACTTCAAAGAGTCTTCCATCTTGAGTGGACAAGGTGACCACACCCAAGGGGGAAAGCAGATGGCTTCTTGACCCGGATGTTCTTCCCTAAGGATGTGCCAGGCATACACCATGTGGTATTTATTACATGACCTGGAAGTTCTTCCATGAGACTGCAGGTAAAAGGACCTTGATGATACTGAGGGTACAGTCATGCTGTGGAGCCAGCGGGACTGGTTGTTGGAACAGCAAGTACTCTGGGGGAGATATTTCCATGAATCATTAGATACAAAGTCTTCGTGGCAAAGTAGATAAAACAACCATGTTGGGAGTACAAGCTCGGATCCCAACTTCCCTCCAGTGTGTGATTTCTGTGACCCCGCTCGTGAAAATGGGAAATAAGTGGGGGAAAGAAATCAAGAGCCATCATCAGCTATGAAGTAACATGGCCCTTTTAAGTGCAGAGGAGCTTAACAAACAAGCCTGGCACACACAGTAGGTGCTGGGAGATGTAATGTGAGAGATGAAGTGCACCATCTTCCCATCAGAGGAATAGAACCAGCACAGTGCCAGGACAGCATGTTGACAACACAGTGTAACAGCCCTGACTTCTCAGTGGATTCCATAAGGATTTAGTTCTTGCTTAGGAGTCTTCAGGTTGGCTGGGACTCCATAGAGCTCAGCTTGGCTCCAAGGTACAGGGTGAGTTCAGGTCTGCTCCACACATCCCTTCACAGAAAGTTGCAATTACTTCTCAAAGTTAAGCCACATCATGCAAGCATTTTTAAAACTTCTGGTTGGAATATAATATGTGTATGTGTGCGTATGTATATATAACTTAAATATATAGGATTTTGTCAATCATACTCAATTTAAATAATTTTAATAATAATAGATATATACTTTATAGATCTCCCAGCCAGACTCCTGAGAATTCTGTAATACTTAATTTTTCTGTATCTCATACACATGATCTATATAAGCTGGATGTATATTTGTGGGAAATATAGATTTTTTTAAAGACATCTCAAGAGGAAAAAGTAGACAAAGAACTTTCAAGGTGAAAGAAATGCCAAAGTATTTAATATTAAATTGTCACTCTCTTCCATGATGGCATTTCTTCAGGAGATCCAAGTACACAGACAGAGACCGAGACAGACACAGAGAGCAAGGAGAGTGGGGGAGGAGGGAGGGAGAGAGAGAGAGAGAGAGGGAGAGAGAGAGAGAGAGAGAGAGAAAGAGAGAGAGAGAGAGAGAGAAAGAGAGAGAGAGAGATCGGCCTTTGGCAGAACAGCCCATCCCCAGCAGATGCACTGAGCCCCTGGGCACCAGGACAAGAGAGAATAACTGAACCCCAAGTTCACTGAAGGGGAGGCTGAAGTTGCAGGAGTCTTTCAGCCCCCATCTAGCCAGGCTCAGCACTCGAAGTAGGCCTAAAGCCGGGGCTTCTGCAAAAGGATCCGGCTGGAGTAATAGTTAAAATGTTTCATAACCGGGATGACACAGGCCCTGCCACTCAGCCGTGACCAGCAGCACACGTAACCTGTGTGCAGATGGCCTGGATCCCTGCATCCTCCGGGGAAGCTGGGACAGCTGGCAGCCCTGAGTCCTCAGGGAGGGCTGACACTGAACTGGAGCAGAGGGGACAGCACCTGACAGGGCGGAAGGCAGCTTCGCTTCCGCTTCGCTTCCGTGCCTGCAAGGGACTGAGCATTTCAACCTGAGACCCCAGGGGTCCTGAAGGGCAGGAGCTGGATTTGTCTTCCTGCCTGAGGCAATCGACAATTTTATGTGTTTCAAGGCAAGCTGGCCTCCCGCCAGAGGAGGAGGTGAAGAGATGACTGGCAGGATCTCTCTCTGATCTGGCTTATTAGAGAGTTAAAGGTACTCGGGCTGGAAATGGTACAGTGCAGAAATAAAGAAGTCTGTGTGGGAGGCCTTAGGCCAGAGTTCTTCAACATCTCCAGGGTCAGTCCCCTGGTGTGGACAAGGGGCATCGTCGCAGTACCTACCTGGCAGGGTCTTGATGATGATGAAACGGTCTAATTGACAGTGACAGCCCTCTGAACAGTCTGACAGCCTTCCCTCCATCATGGAAGACAACATGATTATTCCAGGTGGGAGGGATGACCCGGAAGTAGATCAGAAAACAATGATCAAAAGGCTGGGGGTGGAGTTCAGTGGGTGCGAGGGCCTGGGTTCAAGTCACAGTGCCAAAAAGCAAAAAGAAAGAGAGAGAGAGAGAAACCATTAAGTGAAAAGATGAGATGCGGATGCCGTGAAAATAGCAAGTTAGCAACATGAAGTCAGACTCAAAGCAGAGTTGTTCTTGTCATTGTCTGCCTTTAGTTGTTCAAGATAACCCCGGGCCATAGAAAATGAGAACCCTGAGTGCATACCTCAGCCTCTCCGATGAGTCTCCACACAGATACGATCTCACCCAGCATCCTTCTCCCAGGAGCTGGTCTAACCCAGTGACTCTAGGGCCTGCTGATGTCTGTGACGAGAGAAATATTCTGTCCCTGGGAAGCAACACAGGCAGCCACCTCCCCACTAGGATGAAAGAAAAGCAAACCAGACCCTAAAACCAACTGGGCCACACCTTCCATACTGCAGCATTTTAATTTTCTATCATTAGCACAGGTGACACCTGCGCTCCATCAGCCTCTCCAATACCTGCTTTGTAAAATTCACCTGCCTCTCATGCAGCACCACACATTTGGGGGAACCCACACAGGCTTCCCTTCTCATGTCCAGGGGAAGAGTTAACTGTGGCTGTGCAGCTAGGAGAACCAGGATGCCTGCCTTATCACCTGAGGAGGGTCATGACAGGTAGCTCTGATTGCTACCTTCAAGAAGGTGTGGCTCTTAGAACCTGCCGAAGAACCCTGCTGTCTTCCTTGTCTGAGGCCCAACTTCCTGAGCCCAAGGCCAAGGGCAATCTGGCAACTTCCAGAAGTAACTTCGTCCCAAGCAGACTGGACCAGGGGCTGAATAGCCGGGCAGTGTGGTCTTAAGCAATATGTTTTTATTTTTTATTTCAAAGCATTCCTCAAAGCACAGAGCAACATAAAACCAGAAGAGCAACCACCTCCACTAAAAAAAAAAAGGTGATTTTGAAAGTTTAACTGATAACTTCAGTCGTTCATCCAGCTGATTCCCAAGAAACTAAAAAGCATCTGGAAAATGTATTTAATAATTGATTTAACGTTGAGCCATGTTAAATGTTTTAATTTCCAAGCACTGCAATGCCCACCAAAACATCAATTAGTCCCAGCAATCAGGCAAGAATATTGGCTCCTGTTGAGGGATTCATTTATTTCAACACTGTTAAGTATCGAAGGAGAAATCCAATGCAGCCTATAGCTCCAAGGAAGTGAAATTAAGCCAGAGTGGAAACCAGACCCAGCACTGGCTAAAAGGGTGTCATTCCTGCACGCCCCTCTCGCTCTCTGGAGGGAGCAAGGGAGGCCAGTAACTTGTAAGATCTTCGTGCTTTTAACAGAAAACATCTTTCCCTCCCCACAGCTTCTCCAACTCCACCCCAAAAACAAAGGAGGCTAAAACAAGACAGAAAAGGGCTCCCTGCTGGGGAGACAGGCTGACTTAAGAACTTGCAAGATCATTTTAAATAATTCTTTTTCCTTTTGGAGCCTTTTAAATGTCAAGGCTCCAGGGTCTCACTGCCCTCGTTGAGGCTCTGAGTCCAGGTCAGGGTCTGCCACCGTTGGAAGCATCCTGTGTCTCCACGTGGCTTGGCCAACTGCTCAGGACATCGAAGGGCTGAACATCGGGCCACTCACCACCAGCTCTGGGCCATGAAAAGCAGCAGGGAGCAGCCAACCCAAAGGCCCCAGGAGAGAGGCGCTCCTGAAAGCAAACAAGAGGACACATTCGGTCTGAGGCAGGAGGATGGCAAGTTCCAGCCCAGCCTGGGCAACTTAGCAAGGCCCTGTCTCAAAATAAAAAATATAAAAAAGGGCTGGAGGTGTAGCTCAGGGCAAAAAGCAAGCAAACAAATGGAAACATCAGGGTGTTCCCTTGGAGTTTCTGACTCAGCAGGTCTGCAATGAGGCCCAGAAATTTCCACTTTAAGCATCACTTTCAGGTGATTATCATAATTAAACAAGTTCAGGAAACAAGAGATAAAGAGTCTGGCATGCTAGAAGGATTCACCCAATGTCAGCTCTTTCTCAGGCCCAGGGGGTGCATGAAAAAATGGCGTCTAGGATCCTGCCTTCATCACTTTCTAACAATGCTCATTCAAGGGAAAACTGGTACCCACAGCTCTGTGGGGCATCTGATGTCTAGCACAAACTCCCTGTGCCAGCAATCCCCTTTGAAGAGCTCATCATTCAAGGTCGTTGGCTGTAGCATAGTTTACAACAGGAAAAAAAAATAGATACACACTTGTATGTAGATTTGGTTAGAGATCGGTCTGGCATAGCCATGAAACACACATTTGCACAGGTCCTGTGGATGCCGTATGGAACTATCTCTGAGGTATTTTATTAGGTTAAAAATAAATTCAGGGTGCAGAATAAGGTGTATAATAAGCCTTTGTAAAAATGCAGAGGTCTGATTTTGTAGTTTGTGCACAGAATATCTCTGGCCAACACTGGTTGCTCTGCGGAAGGGAACTGGGTGGCAGGGGGAGGGGGGAGGGGAGAAGGGACAGAGGGAAATTTCATTACATCAACTTTCAGACCTGCTATTCTTCAACCGTGTGCATTATCTATTGTGTGTGTTATCTAGTCATGCAAAATGCAATCATCTTTACAAGCAAGTTTAAAGGCGGGCATATTGTATTTCAAGGAAAGGTGATCAAAACAGTAGTGCATCGAAGGGCGTGGCTCCAGTTTGCGAGCCGCCTCTGGCCACTTGTGGCTGCAAAAATTGGGAGTCCCCCAAATTCCCATCCCGGTGGAAGTAGGGGAACTGGGAAGGAGGGTTTGTTGACAGAGAGGGGTGATCAGGTCAGGGAAGGGAGGACCCTAGGGGTGCTGGTTAAGCACCCTGTCCCCTTTCCTCTCTGGGGATCTGAGCGTGCTGCTCTCTGCTCTCGGGATACAACCCGCTTGACTGAGTCCATCTTCTCTTGGACATCACTGGTGGCCGGCGGCAGCCAGGATCCAGTCCCTCTCCCCTCAAGCCTATCCGGGTAAGTTTCCCGCGTGCGCCCTGGAGGCCTGCTCCTCCATCCTGTGCCTCATGGCCACCTGGCTGTGTGCGTGTGTCCCTCACTCCGTGCTCCCTGGAGCCCCGCGAGGACCTGACGCAGCTGGCAGGGGTCCCAGCGGGCTCCCCGGCCTCTCCACCGGCGGTGCGCACCAGGGACAGGAGCCCCCGAGGTGTGGGAGCGTTGTGGGCATGAGGAGAAACGGGCAGGAAAGCTGTTCCCCCAAGTAAAGTGCCTGCTCCACCCAGAGTCACCATTACCTTCCCCTGCTTATTTTCTTCCTGGTCTCATCAGTGTTTTTGTTTGTTTACTTGCTTGCTTGCTTGTTTGCTTGCAGTACTGAGGATTGAACCCAGGTTCTACATCCCCAAGCCTTCTTTTATTTTTTTATTTTGAAACAGGGCCCCACTGAGTTGCTAAGCTGCCCAGGCTGCCCTCAAACTTGTGATCATCCTCTCTCAGCCTCCCAGAGTGCTGGGATTACAGACCTGGGTCACCCTGAAGGGCTTCTTATCATATCTGAGATCCACTTGTTCATTTACCCACCTGTTTTTCTTATCTCTGTATTCCCAACCCGACTACAGATTTGAAACATAGCATGTATTTGCCCTATATATATTGGTTGAATTAATACTGGGCAGTAAGGAGGGGGGATGCAAACAAAGGGTGGATGCAAAGGAGCTAGTGAAATGAATTTACTCCTGAGATTCTGCTCCAACGCATTCCAGGGAAATGGAATTTTTCATAGCTCTCCCGGGTGGCTTTAAAGCGCTGCGGAGTTGAGGTTCACTCTGGGAGCCTAGGCAGGGGCTTTGAGGTTATCTCTGAGTCTGAGGGCAGATCCCTGAGGACTATGAGACGCCCCGTTCTGAATTTAGTAACCTCCCGTCCCAAGCCCCGCAGGTAACAGAGGGGCCGGGAGGGCTCGGTGGGGCCCCATGCAGGGCCCGCTCGGCTCACCCCGGGGAGCCCCTGCGGCGGACGTCCGGGTGGGGCCGGCGCTCTCGGGCTCGTCCGGCCAGGAGTGGGTCTTGGCGCCATCTAGTGCCCGCTGTAGGCTCTGCAGCTGCGGCGCGCTGAGCCGCTGGCTCTGGCCCTGGGTGACGGCCGCCGCGTTCTCCGGGCCCAGGCGGGCGAGGTGCGCGGCAGACAGCTCCTGCGGGGGAAGGGCGGTCCTCAGCGCGCCGCGCCTCTCCGTCCGGCCTTCACCACCTGCCCTGCCGGAACCCGCACATCTCGCCATACCGAGGCCCGTGCGTGCGCTTCTGAGCTGTTTCCTTAACATCAGATCACTTTCACTACACAAGCGTATGTATGTAAAACTGAAAAAAAGAACTGAACAGAAATTTCCAAAAATGGGAAACCAGCGAGACTCGCCATAAGCAAGCACTGAACAGAAGTCAAAAGAAAGCAGCATATGCGAACTCCCGCTGGGTCTGCTGGCCCGTAATATTTGGACCTCTGGCCCCTTTAAAAAGCAAGGATAGGGGAACTCAAAAGGGTTAAAAGACATTTTAAAACATTCTAGTTCCAAATTAAGACTTTCTCCTGGAAGTGTGGGGTAATAAGGGAGAGTTGAAAGGGGAATCATGATTTTCTCACTCTGTGACAAAGCTGTTTAATCCACACACGATTCCTTTCCAAAGCTCCGGGTCCTCAACCTGAGAAAATGCTTATATAGGAAAGAAAGCACGAGCCTGAAAGCCATGGACCTGAAGCTGGGCCTCAGCTCTGCCACATACCAGCTGTGTGGCCTTGGACAAGTTACACAGCCTCTCTGAGCACTTGGCTTAGCTGTGAGGTGGCCCCGAGAATTCATCTCCCATGCCAGTTCTGATTCTCGGCCATGACTGCCTGAACACCAAGCCATGAATCCCGCTGGGCTTGGAGGAGGAAAAGTCTGGTGACCTAGTGGTGATGTCTCCCAGCAGTGGGTGATTCTGCTGTGTACTCTGTCACTGAGGACTGTGAACAAGATATTTTCCAAGGGCGACAGCTTCGAAGGACTCAGTGACTAGTTCCTGTGGGAGTTGGATAAGATGGGATGACAGGATTCTGCTTTTATAGAAGGATCTCTAGCCTCACTCTGTTTCAGAGCCCCCCATCCGAGAAATCTTATTTTTCTGATCCCATCCATTCCTCTCAATCACACTCTTCTCTCCTGTGCAGGTAGATGCTTCCCCAGGGCCACAGCTTAAACTCCTGAATATAGCAATGGTCCCTTCAAGCTCTGGGTACCCACATCCCTCGCCTCACCCCTGGGGACCTCACTGCAGGAGAATGAGCAGCTGCATCTACAGTTCCCAGGAGGCCATCCTTCCAGGCACTTCCTTCTGCCTGGAATTCTGTTCTCTTGCAGCCTACCAGACCTGTGCTCCATGATACAGCATCACCTCCTCATCGAGAGAGAGAGAGAGAGAGAGAGAGAGAGAGAGAGAGAGAGAGAGAGAGGCTGAATCTACCGTTAACAGAGTCTGCATTTCAGAAATTAACTATCTTTCCAGTGCTGGCCCTATGACCCACAGGCCAGATTGAATCTCTAGGCCTACTGTGTTTTCAAAAATAAATTCAAATGGGCTGCCAACATTTAATTATCAGGAGATTTCATACGAAAATGAAGACTTCCAGCTGCTTCTATTAAAAAAAATAAGGCCCAGCAATACTGGGTCCTCATCATCACATCACGTTAATGTGGCTGCGACGGGAAACGGCCTCCCCATCTTGACAGGGCTCTCGCATCCCACCCGGCCCCACCCGGCCTGCCAAGCGCGCTCACGTTGCCTTCCTGACCCCCAAAGTCACCCTCACCAGTGACGTGGACCCCAAGTGCCCCTCTCCCGGGGCCTGAAACAATGAAAGTTATCAATAAGCGTTTCTGGAATGAATACTTAGCAATGAAGCAGCCACAGCTGTGCTCCAAAGGAGACCAAGCGTGAGTGCTCAGCAAAATGCCAGGACTGAGCTGCCTATCCCATGCGGAACGCCCCCAAAGGGAAGCAGGAATTGGTTCCTCCTCCTCGGCCCAAGAACTGTTCTTTACGCCCAAACAGCCGCTCCCTACGCTGTGTTGGGAACTGTCCGGGGTGCTGACGTGGTTCTAGCTCAGCTGCCAGTCTTGAAATGAACCGCGGGTTTGAGTGCCTCACCCGGGTGTGGCGAGCAGAATGCGTTCCCACGTTACTCATGAACACCAGCGTCCATCAGAGCAGAGCGTCCCGACCAAGTGTCCCTAATCCCGTCTGTGGACAGGAAGCAAGGGCCTCGCCCGGACTCCCTGCTCCCTCACTTCAACTTACCCATCTCCATCCTTTCAATTCTTCCACAGCAATGAATCACCTGTCCTACTGTGAGTTATCTAATACTTCTCTTTAAATCAACTACAATATTTGTATTTAAAAGGAAATGTTATCAAGCTCCACAATTTGCCATCTGCAAATCTGCTATCCAGAAACTGTTTTTTCCCCAAAGTTTAAAACAAACTTATTTACTAGCAAAACTTGACCTGAATTGATGCGAAGCTATTTATAGTCTGTTCCAATTAGTGTGACTTGTCAAAGATTTCTTCTCAAAAATATTAATGCATTGGCTTATAATTACTTCAGACACTACTGGAGGTGTTAAGGTACATATTGTACACCCACAGGGAGATCTTTTTAAAATTTGAAAAGTTCTGAATTCTGAGTTTATCTGTCCTCAAGGGTTTTACAGAAGGACTTAGGAACCTCTCACATCACCATAAATAGAAAATCCACATCCCTTGCTGTGAAGAGAAGGTGACCATAAAAATAAATCTAATCAAAATATAAACACTTTTTAAAACTTTTTTTAAAACACTTAAAATTATCTTGTGATTATCCATTGTGGGCCTAGAGATGTCCTCTGGCCCCACTAGCAGAAGCCTAGTTGCAAGTCCCAAGAATCCATGGTCTGCTACACGTTTCCCTATGTGATCTGAAATGGAGTCAAGCTCCTGTTTCTCCTTGAAGAACTGAGCACCTACTTTGAATATCTCGTCAGGAAGGCATTTTATTGCTGATGGCTGGAAATATGGCATCAGTTCCTTGTCAAGCATTCGGAGCTCTGCCTTAGTTAATCCAGCTGGGGAGAAAAAGGAATCAGGGGCTTTAGTTCAAGCCATCGGAACACCATGTGTTTTATTAATGGTGCTGCATAATGTACAGATCTGCGTGAACTAGACAATCATCATTCCTTACAAAAGGCCCGGAGAATCACATTGGGGAATCGAGTTCCTTAATCAACTCAGAAAAATATGTGGGTCACATTAGCCGTGATTGGCCTCCTACAGTGAAATGTATGCCCAGAGGAGCTTCAATTTACACACTTTAAGATTGTGTATAAATCTATTTAGAGGCCAATTAAATCCTTCTATACCAGTGTTTTTCAAACTGTAGAACGCACAAGCATCTCCAGAAAAGCTTATTTTGAAAGCACATGTACAGATCCTACTCTCTGCAACTTCAAGTCTAGCCTCTACAGTTGCTCCATTGATGTTCACATGTGGCCAAGGATTGTTACTTTGTTTTACTTTATTTTAGTCCCAGATTTAAGTTTTTGAAGAAGTAACAGGTGTGCTCCATAGGCCTCTTACCTGCAATGGTCCCAAGCTCCTGCAAGACAGAGCTGGTCCATTTAGAGGGCTCTCCAAACACAACTTCTGCCTTCCTTTTAAATTCAGCCAAGACATGGGTGCTGCAGAGTAATGTCCCAATTCTGGCCACCACCATCCTTGAAAGAGAAAAGGATACAGTATGAACTCGGGGAAATCTCCAACCAAAAAACAATGTGTAGAAGGTTAAGTAGACTAAGCACTGAGACAAGATCCAGCTAATCCCACTCTCTATTCTAGCCCAAAAAGAACCAAAGCATCAGAAAATGGTGAACACTGAGATGGGTAGATGGATGCATGGATCGTCTGTCATTTTACATGCTAGCATTCTGGTTACCTGAATTCTGAGATCTGTATAAGTGGGATTTCGGTGACATTCATAGCACACAGGGTGGCACCAAGTCCTACTAAATGATAGCTCTTCAGATCTTGGATACCATAGCCTGAATCCTGGAGGAACCCTTGAAGGATGGATTTAGCCTATAAAAGATGAAAATGGCTTCTGGTTTATTTCCTTCAGAAACTTTTATTACTTTCAGATACTTTGGACATTCAGGACCCAAACACTTCCATCTGTTTCCAAAACTTTCCAACAATATCCCATAGTTCCCTGCCTCTGCCTTTGCTCAAGCCAGCCCCTCCATCTGAAATGCACCTCTGTACCCCCTCCATCTGAAATGCACCTTTTATGTTTTTGTTCAATTCAAATATCACTTCTTCATAAAGTTTTTCCAGTGCAGCTAGAATGAGTTTTTCTTCCTCTATTTCCTACAGAAATACACTTTCTGTCACTCTTCAATTCCAGAGAGCAGTACATAAAACGCTTTGGTATTAAAAATCACACAGGCATATCTCCAGTGAGCTTTGATTGAAGGGTACTGATGTGTAGGATTCCTGGTTTCCAGGACAGTGGCTGTTCGACATTCATGACTTCCCCTGGAGGATCACTCCTCCCACCCTTATTCCATGTACTTCAGTCTGAATTAACTGCAGATGGCTAATGATGGGACCTAGTCCTGTCCAAGTCGTCTTTTTTTTTTTTTTTTTGTACCAGGGATCGAACTCGGGTCCTTGCACTTGCACAGCAGGTGGCAAAACCACTGAGCTAAATCGCCGGCCCCCAAGTCGTCTTTTAACTGGATTCAGTGATTCGTTCTCTGCTGGGTATGTGATCTAGCCAGAACCAGTGAAGGCTTTGAATGGAGCGATTAACAGAGAGCTTGGACTTGAATTTGGAAGGATGCACACGTGGATCCTTGGAATGATATAAATGCAGATCTGCTAGATAGAAAGATCTCTCACTACAATAAGAGTCTGCCTCTGAATACAAAGGAAAGCAGAGCCCCCCTTCAAGGTTGTAAGAACTAGGGTCCCAACAATAATCTTGAAGCTCCTGGATCCAGCTATACCTGAACTCTAAGGCTGAACTTTTCTATTATGGGAATCAATAAATCACTTCTTTTGCCCAAACTAGTTTACAGCTACTTCTAAGTAAATGAACCCTGATTCATTTGATCTACCTATGTTGACCTGAAAAAGGATGCAAACCAATCCATTGCAGATGAGCTTTATAATGAAGTCAGGATCATTTGGTGTTCATAGGAGCAGGGGGGAAAATTACAAAAGATCACAAGGCAAAAAAGAGAAGGAGACTTCCAAGAACGAGCATCTCCTTACTGGAGTAAAAGTCACAAGAATGCAGTCAAGTTCCCCTTCACCTTTCAATGTTAGTCACCCCATCACACAATGTGGATCATTACAGTGTCAAGAAAAATGCTGAGAAATACTGCGAAAGGTTGCAAAGGAGGCTCTACTGTTGGTGTGGCTATAGCCTTTCCATCCCTTGGCTATATTGAAGGGCTACCTTTTCCGAGAAGACTGCCCTCCGGACTCCTTCAGCCCAAACAGTCCCCCTCCCCACTATTGCTATGAGTATCTGTTCCATTTTCTTTATCGCTTATTACAATTTTTAAACTTGTTCATCTTCATCACTGACTTTTTTGTCTGTATCACCAGTAGACTCCCCCAAAACAAGGACTACATCTAGAGAGTTTGCCATTTTGTCCCAAGCATGTGCCATAATGCCTAGCACATTGTGGGAGGGCCGGGATTTACCTCAGTGGTCCTGGCGCCTGCCTTGCAATTGCAAAGTCCCAAGTTTGATCCCTGGTACCAAAAAAAAAAAAAAATCCTATCACATTGTGGGAGTCCAATAAGGAGTTTTTAAGTGAGTGAGTGAATGAAAGAATGAATGAATGAACGAACATCGGAGTGAATGACATATAGAAGTCATATGCAATATGTGTTCCTTTTGAAATGGTATCGTTTTGCTGCCTTCACATGATGGACTGGCTTCAGGGAGATTTCCCATGTCTCTGTAAATCAAGCTCATCTGTTTCTTTATGAAGTATCCTTCAATGATTACTAAACTCATAGCTACTGTAGGGGAGTTTCAGTAATGCCCCTCTGAGATGTAAATATCTTTATCTAAAGGGGACTGTGCATACAAAATAATAATAGCTAACATTTATTGAATGCTTTCTGTGCTGGCACTATTTGGCCAACTTTATCTCATCTAATACCCTAATCCTAAGTGTTAATATTAAGTATTAATATTAATATTAACCCTCTTCCACAGGTGAGCAACCGAAGCACAGAGGTAAACAACCCATATCCCACTGCTAGAAAATACTGGTACTAGGATCAAAGCCAAGACAGTCAGACTCCAGAGCTTATACTCTTAACCCGTGAAGACGTTTGGCTAGGGAAAAAAAATGAAGACTCAAGATAGATTTTGAATTTTTCTTATTAAGTCTTCACAATCAGGTTTCACTATTGGACTCATAGCAATTTGTGCCCCCCAAGTATGAGGCATTCCCATTTTAAAATGAAAGTGCAAAAGTACGATTCAAACAAAATTACTTTGAAGATGTAGTATTAAATTGTCCTTGCCACTGGAACCCAGAAAATGCAAGCTCAGCCTGCAGGGTGATAAGTCAAAATATATTTCCTTGAATGACTAGCCCAGTGTATATGTAATGATTCCAAGACAATTAATACCAACACTTTTAGGCAATATTAACCACTGAAAAATGAGGAGCTATAAGATTTCAATCTCTCTCTTCATCCCTCTGCCTTCTATAATAGTTTTTCCCCTTATATTGGTTTTTAAGCTGAACTATCTGTTAATATAGTTCCTCCAGGTCTGACTATTAATCTAGAAACTTGCATTTAAGGGTTTGATTGGGAACTAAAGTTGAGGAACTGACTGCAAATGATATATGCAAATGTTAGGTTTTCATATCCTCTTCGAACATATTGATAAATCTCACTGCCATCCATGGGAATTAAAATTGGTGCAAAAGGAAAGAGACACTCTAGTTTCTGAGTTGAATATATTTTTGTGTTTCCCCCAGACTGCATATAGCATGATTTTAATATCAGATGTGTAATGTGCCACTTCTCAAACTAGTCAAACACAGTTTTAGAGTCACAGAACCAGAGGTTACCAGATGCTGGAATGGAAGGAACTTTAGGGTTGGATTTAATCCTGTCAACTTGCAAATGAAAAAACTAATCCAGAAGAGGGAAGGAGGAAGCGTGGTGGTGATGGTAATGATGATGAAAAGCAGCTTTAATGACTTTTCTGTACCAGACATTATCCAAAGTGCTTTGTTTTATTAAGTCATCCAATCCTCGTGACCTGCACCTCTGTGATCCACAGCTCCAAGGGAATGCCCTTCACACTGTGTTCAACCTGAATGATGACACTCAAGAGTTGTGGAATATGACAACCTTGATTACAAAAAGCCCGGGAGAAAAGGGACATGCATGGGCTGTGCTGCCCAGCACCTATTCTCCCTTAGTTTAATAATACCACTACACTTTTCTGTTCAAGAACTATTCTGTATTAGTCTTCTAGTGCTGCCATAACAAATTACCACAGACTTAGTGGCTTAAAATACAGACGTGTTCATTTACAGTGCTGGAGATCCTAAGTCCTAAAATGAATCAGCAAGACATGTTTTTTCTGGGAGTCCCAGTGGGACTTAACTTTCTAGCTCCTCCATCTTGAAAACCAGCAGCATAGAACCTTCTTATCTCTCTTTTCCCCTCTGCTTCCATTATCACATCACCTTGTATAGCCGTGGCACCTGTATCTCTCTAGGACACTCTGTGATCACACTGGAACCACCGCGATGACTCAGGGTATCTCTCCATCTCAAGGTCCTTCAATAAATCTCATCTACAAAGGCCTATAAGGCAACACACTATATTTACAGGTCCTAGGAATTCAGATGTAGATACCTCTGGGAGCCTTAATCAGCTTTCCACATGCCCTTCCCCACTCTCAGTACCTGTGGCCCTGGGCAGAGGGACTACACTTGCTGACACAGGCCCGGCCAACCAGTATCTTCTCCCCCTGACCTGAGCATTGTTCAAAGCAATTACATCGTTGGACTTAATGACAGGACTTTCTAAAGCACAAATGAAAAAGAGACACATTTTTGTAGGGTTGCTAATTAGGTAAGATATAAGCCTGTTGCTGAAAATGACCACTGAGGAAGAACTCTCTCAATGAAGACAACATGGAGGAGCTAGGACTTCCCTTTCTGGCAGTCCAGGTGAGGAGACACCCTAAACATCTCTTCCAGTCAAATTCTGGGGAGAACTGCTTTTTAGTCCATGAAGGATTAGCTGTCACGGAAATTTTTCTTCCACCACAAACAACTAGAAGAACTGAAGGAAAACAAGGAATAATCATACCAAAAAAACAACTGTACAAAACTGAACAAAATATGAAACTACTATATTCAGATATTGGACAACAGGGAGCACAGGATGGTGATCTTGAAAGAAGGAAAACAAATAAGGTGAGCCCAAAAAGTTTCCTTTCTCACTGCCTGGAGACTCTTTCCACGGGGACCCAAACACACTCAGAGCTCCGCCTGAATTGAGGACACAGACCCAATGTCAAAAACCACAGAAAACAAACCTAGCAAACTGTTTTTCCTTATGAGTCCACCTCAACACTCAAAAGATAGTGACTCACTCCCACTGACCCCTCCAGAGCAAGAAGGTGTTAGCATCCATTTATTCAATAAATATTTCCTATGTGATAAAACATGTATACCTAACCATATTTTTTATAGAAAAATATGTCCAAGTCATCTTTTATAGATACAGTTTCTGTGCCCAAGCTCTATTCTAAGCCAGTATAAATATCACAGGTGGCCCCAAAGGAAATAAAATGAAACTCTCAGAATGTTTTCTTTCCATATAAGCAGCCTCAAAGAACTGAAAATCTACATTTTTCTATAAATAATGAGAGGGAGACAGAGAGAGAGAGAGAGAGAGCAGAAAGGCCAGGACACCTACTGTCCATGGGGTGAGTACTAGAGAGAAGAAAACTACACAGTGAGAATTCTAGAAATCTGCAAAGATGCCAAAGATGTCCACCTGAGTACGGAGTCCTGATTTGCACATGTAAGGTCTGAAAGTCCACAGAGTCAGGGAGGGTCATCAGAAGACAACAGGCTGAGCAACTCCCATAGCTCACATGGAGGGGAGAAGGGTGAACTTTCCCACCAGCCAGAGTGGGGAGACCTTGAAGCACATCATGCATTAAGGCAGGGTCTTTAGATGAACCACGTCCCAGTGATGGGGGTACATTAACCACAGAATGAAGGTCACTCTGGACTTTCCTAAGAAAACTCAAATGGAGAAAAACGTAATTTAAACATAGACCAACACAAAGGCCAACATTCTTTAAAGGAATACAACTCAGTCAAAAGCTCACCAGTGTAAAATTCATAATGCCCATCAACTAGCCAAAGTTACTAGGCTTGCAAACAAGCAAGATGTGACTCAGAACTAGGAGAAAAAGTGATTTGCAGAAAGAGACTCAGAAATAACATTGATGATGGAATTAGTAGCAAGGATGTGAAAGCAGCGATTATAAATACTCTATGAACAAGGAAAACATAAGCCAAATTCAGAGAGAGCTGGAATATTGAGAAGACCCAGGAGCATCCACCCACCTGCCCTAAGGTCCAGCCTGTCTGCTGGCTCAGAGAAGCAACGGTGTCGATGGAGCTGAGGTCCAGCTCTCCCAGTTCTCTCTCAGTAAGAGCCAGAGCAATCCGCCCCAGGGAGACCACGTGGTGTTCTCTCCAGCGGGAAGGCGAGTCCCAGACCTTCAGGTGGGGAAAAAACAGAATGTCAGTGACACTGCTTGCTACAGTCAAAGTGTGCATGTCCCCTTCAAGATGCACTGCAACCTAATTCGCAATGTGACAGGAGAGAAGGTGGAGCCTTAGAGAAGTGATCAGGCTATGAAGACTCTGACCTCCTCAGTGGGAGGGGCGCCCTTGTAAAAGAACCCCCCCCCTCCGAAAACTTTGGAGCCCTGTTTCGCTGTGGAAGTATGCTGTCAGATAGTGCCACCTATCAGAAGCCCTCACCACTCCACCTACCAGGGCCTTGATCTTGGACTTCTCAGCTTCTAGAACCATGAGAAGTAAATTTCCATTGTTTATAAATTACCCGGTGTAAGGGATTCTCATAGCAGCTTAAACAAGATAAACCAGTATTTTAAACAGACACAGGTCTGGGCCTAGTAGCAGCAGCCTCTAATCCCAGCGATTCAGGAGGCTAAGAAAGGAGGATCATGAGTTCGAGGCTACCATGGGCAACTTAGTGACACCATGTTCCAGGAAAATATAAAAAGGGCTGGGGATGGGGTAGGGTGCTAGCCTAGCATGTGCCAGGCCCTTGATTCAGTCCTTAGTACTGAAAAAGCAAAACAACAACAACAAAGATATCGAGTAAGTCTCTTTAATACAACACTATCTTATGAATCATTAAGAAAAAAATGACTACCTTTGTTTATTTTATTTTATTTTATTTTTTGGTACCAGGGATTGAACTCGGGTCCTTGTGCTTGCGAGGCAGGCAGCGGAACCACTGAGCTAAATCCCCGGCATACCTTTGTTTAAAGAAGTAAACATATGAAAAAAGTTCATTCTCAAAAAAAAAGAAAAAAGTTCATTCTCAATTTTAATTAATGAAATGTTAATTAAAAATAATTAAATTAAGACCATGTTGGCCCGCCATATTGATAAGGAGTAAAAAGAACAATCATTTATGAAGTGGTAAAGACACAAGGTAAAGGGCACCTTCGTTTGCTGTTGCTGAGAATGTATATGGGTATATGCTTTTAAGAGGGAAAATTGTCTATAAATATCAAAAAATGTGTATCTGGGGCTGGAATTGTAGTTCAGGGGTAGAGTGCTTGTCTGTCACACACCAGGCCCTGGGTTTGATCCCAGCCACACACACACACACACACACACACACACACACATACAATGCATCTGTATTGAACTGAAGAATATGTTTCTTGTCACTATTCCCTAAACAATATGTATAACAACTATTTACACAGCACTTACATGTTATTGGGTGTTGTAGGTTATATTCGAGTATCACACCATTTTAAATAAGGGACCTCAGCATTTATGGATTTTGGTATCTGCGGGGGTGTGGAGTCAGCTCTCCATGGTCACTAAGAAATGACCATCAGCAGGATATCCATGCATGAAATCTCTATTTTATACACATACACAGAAGTCTGTGAGACTTCAGGTGAACATAACAAATATCTAAAATCCTTAGTTCTGGGTAAAAGACTGGTTTTCTTATAATTTTCTGATTTTCTACAATACACTTGGATTACTTGTAAAACCACAGACTTCTACATATAGTTTTAAGCAATTTGATTTTTTTAATCCCACAAAAGTGACCAGATCTTTCACAACTGTCCCAACAGCTAAAACAAGGCGCTCATTGGGAACTTTTTAAAGATGATGAGCTTCTTCCAGTCTTCCCTTTCCTCTTTCCTGCAGTTTTCAGATAAATTTGCAGTAGATGCTGGGCAAATTCTGCTGGCAGGAATTGGGGTTCTCTAAACAGTTAAAGCAAAGGCAGAATTCCAGGAAACAGTTTCAGTCAGAACATGCAGAGAAATTGATTTTCTGATTACAGGATGCCAATACATGTTCCAATCCATTTTCTGCCACTGTCCTAAGCAGGAGGAGCTAATCCCATTACTCAGATTAGGATCTCACGACTACATCGTTTGAGCTGAGGCAGTGACATTTCAACCAAATAAAGTACATGTCGATTCCTTGAGGAGGGCTCCACAAGGACATGCTGAGGCTGAGTTTCAGTTTTGTTTGTTTCTTCTGTTCAGTGCTTCCTCCCTGAGGTGAGCTTTACCTGGATCGCCTTCTCCTTCAAGGCCATCAGCTGAGGCCAGCTGAAACCCTTGACAGCACCCAGCAGCTCCACATTCCTGATGAACGTGTCTTCTCCCATGCAGAAGAGATCCTCAGGCTCCCAGCAGGCATTGGCTTCAGCCAACTTGAAGATGTCATCAGAAGAGGGAGCAGAGACTCCATGGCAACCTGCAGGACGAGGGGATGCGGAGAAGGAGCAGGGAGAGAGCATTTCAGTAAATGTTAGTGTCTTTATTGAATATAATCCTTCACCAGCCAGACTGGCTCACAACAGGCAGGGGAGCATAGGAGCTGGAGGCACAGACCAAAGGCCCAGTTTGAACCCCACTTCTGCCATTTTGCTAACTACCTGGTAACAAAACTCATGGAAATGCCAGATTTTTGCATAGCCACATGCAAAAGAAGGAACTTCACAACATGACAACTGGACTCCAAACTCCTTGAGGGATAAGTACTCATGGTAAACAGTCCTGACCTCAGGTTCAAATCCTGAGCATTTATCCCTCTGTGCTTCTGTTTCTTTGTCTACAGAATCGGTATAAAAAGTCCCTTGTACGATGATTAAGAAAGCTGAAAACGTCACCATATTGAAAGCGCTTAGAACAATGTAAGGCATACAGTAAGCCCTGAATAATTATTTTCCATCATTATTATTCAATACCTGCCTGGCCCCCTACATGTTTGAGTTTGCAACCCAGCATTAACGGCTCCAGAGAAAGAGCCCTCCTGTCCAACTGAGACAGTGATTTGCTGTCCACAAAAATCATAGTGGGGGTTGTGGCCTTCTAGTCCCAGGAAAGAAGGGAATGGGCCTATTCCATTCTCCTGGGCCACAAGAGAAACCCATCCATTTCAGTCTTTGCATAAACTGAGCCTTCTCAGAAGAGTTACCTACCAACATTCAAATAAGATATCATCATTGCTGGCCCAATGTGCCCAGCAAGAAATCTCAAGGCTCTTAAGAGCAGTGCTGGATTTTTGCCTCATCTTAGCAGCTGACTGTGACTGCGTGGACTGACTCACCCTCATCAGAGGCCAGGCATTTCCCAAGCCCTATGGCCACTCCCTTCTCACTGTGTCTTCAACACTAACTCACTGGGCTCCAATCAAGATGCAAAGTTAGAGCAGGGTGCCAACTGTGGTCCTAAACATCTTTATCACAACCCACTTGGAGGGAACTGAAGAGTCATCCTTCCTGATTCCCGGGCTCAGTGACAGCACTGCATTACAGAGCAACCAAAGAGCTGAATGGCACAGCAGGGCCTTGATCTTAGTACTCTGTGTGTCCAGGGCTTAGGGTAGAATGTGGCACATAGTAAGTGTTCAGCAAATATTTGTAAAATGAACACATGCACAGCATTAACTAAAATAAAACCAAGTAGTGATTGTGCTGATACACTGATTACTAAAAACACAGCAGCAAGTGACACTCTGAGGCAACTAATAAAAGCCCTAAGTAATAGAGCCTCCTCCCCTGAGTGAGGGAGGTCTTGCCTCATGTGTGAGGCTTTGGGGAGGCAACTGGATTGTGGGTGTGAGACACTGGATCGTGGGCATGTGACACTGAATCCATCTATTGATGAGTTTATGGCTGGGTGTGATGTTGGGAGGTGAAGCCTGGTGGGAAGAGATGGGTCACCATGGACCTGGCCTGGAAATTATATATATATTCCTCCTCCCTTGATGGCCCACTGCTTCCTGCCTGCCATGCCATGAACTTCTCCTCTGTGATGCCCCTCTGCCACGCCATCCTGCCCCGGAGCCAGCCGATGATGAACTGAAACCTCTACAAACTGTGAGCCAAATAAAGCCCTTCCTCCTTTAACTTGTGAGTGTCTGATATTTTGCCCCAGCAAAGAGAAAGTAATGAAGACACTGCCATCATGCCCCCTCTGCCTGGAAGCTCCAACCTGAAATGTCCACATAGACCACACTCCACTCCACAGGGCTTCATTCAAATGTCACCATCTCCATGAGACCTTCCCTGATGGCTCTCCTTTCACATCATGATCCCCTACCAGACTCCCAGCCCCCTTGCTCAGCTGTATTTTCCTTCTTGACATTCGTCCTCATATGATATACTGCATATTTTGCTTATGTATGGAATTGATTGTTTGGCTATACCTCATTTCAAAGTAAGCTCTAAAAGGGGCAGGCATTTTTCCTCTTTAAGTCACATAATAGATGCTTAGTAAATATTTGCTGGATGAATGAAAGCAAGCAAGCACTGATTATTAACTTTGATTATTACAATTACTATTAGGCCTGATTAACTTTGTCTTCTCGTGGCTGGCACAAGTCTGCACATAGCGCCTAGTAAGGATAATAAAAATATCTAACACTTCTTGAGCATTTTCTACATGCCAGGCACTGCTGTGAATATGTTTATAGGTTATGCCCACTAGTCCTCAAAATAATCCAGTGAGGTACAAGGCTTTCGTTTTCCCGCTTTACAGAAGATGAAAGCTGAAAATAGAGAAGTTAAAACACTAACCCAGAGTCACACAACAGTAGTCAGTGGCAGACTCGTAATTCAAATCTGGCCAGCTGCCCCTGTAGTTGCAATATTTAGCTGCTAAACTGTGTGGTTCCTTGAAGCCAATCCTACCCATTAAACCTAAGCCTGAGTAAGAAGTGTGGCGCATGATTTCAAATCTCTTTCCAAGGTGTCGTTCTTTGGCCTGTGGATTTTTGCTATTCTGTTGCTTCCCAAATACTTCATTTGTCCCATGAGCAAGGAGGCCCCTTAATGTCAGAGACTCAGCTCAAAACACCGCCACCCTGGCATGAGATCAGATACCCCAGGGAACACTCACCAGGGATGGTGTGAAAGCTAGGATTCTCATCACTGCTATTCCGAACAGACTCAAAGACAGCCCAGAGAAACTCTTTAGGGGGCTGGATCCCAGCTATCCTTGAAGCTGTGTGTTGAAGAATACCAGGAAACTGTGGGTTAAGAGGGACAGATCATAATCAAAGCACATTACACAGATTTAAATCAGAGCTTAAACAGTAACATTACTTAATGCCCTTTATTCTTCCTCACTGCAGCTTCTCATTTAAATTTAATCCCTAGCCCAACTAACGTGGTCTCTAAAAAGAATCCTATTAAATGACACTTGATCTCCACAATAATCCACTAAATGTTAAATAAGTATATGACATTTTCAATAACCAGAACATCAAAAATAAAGTCATAGGGCCAGGGATTTAGTATGGATTTTTTGTTTGTTTGTTTTGCTTTTGGGGGGGGTACCAGGGATAGGGCCAGGGATTTAGCTCAGTGGTGCCACGCCTGCCTCGCAAGCACAAGGTCCCAAGTTCAATCCCCAGTACCGCAAAAATAAAAATTAAAAATAAAATAAAGTCATAATACTTGACACTGGCTGAAATGTTGGAGACATACACCCTCACTTTTCAGAGGGACTGTTAAATGGTGCATTATTACCAGGGCAATCTGATAATATCTACCAAAATGTAGGTTCGTTTATCCCTTATTGGCGTGGTACTATTCTATTCTATTCTATTTTTAATTTCATATTTACCATAAAAAGAAGCAGGGAAGGGTTACCTTTGGGTTTTGGATAGAGATTAGCATTGAGGAGCTTTGGTTGCCCTGGAGAAGGCATCAGTTCTCATCTGGAACTAATGGACTTTCTAGGGACTTGGGATATTACTGGGGGCCCCATCCGGGAGCCCAGGAAATGCATCAAGCGCTCACACTGTTGTGCACTACTGTGCCCCAGCCTGCCCAGAGAGAAGGCATCTCAGCTCATGTAGTTCTCTCTAGTCCAATTCTCAGGGGCTCGGGCTGCAGAGTTCTCAGTCAGTTTGTCTGGGCTGGGGACCATAGAAGTCCCCAGTTGATTCTCAAGTGCAGCTAAGGCTGAGCGGCCGCTCTAAGACACAGCCGTGAACTGCATGATGACCTTACAGTCAGCGACAGGCCACACACACAGTGCTGGTCACATAAGATGGTAATGGAGCTGAAAATTCCCCGGCGCCTAGTGACACCGCTGCCAGCCCTAACACAGCACATTCCCTACGTGCTTGTGGTGCTGCTGTGTAAACAAACTGACCGCCCTGCGAGTCATCTAAAAGGACAGCCGTGTGCCAATTAACAATATTTTTGTTTTTTGTTTGGTTTTTTTTTTTGGTACCGGGGATCGAACTCAGGACCTTGTGCTTGTGAGGCAGGCACTGGAACCACTGAGCTAAATCCCCGGCCCAACAATGTTTTCCATCAATCCAAGCCCGAGGTGCAACAGTGGGCCCCTGAGATCATGTCGTCTCCTGACGTTAGTTTGTGAAAATACATTCTACGTTGGCACAGTGACAACATCACCTGATGCTGCATTGCTCAGAACTTCTCCCCGCCATTAAGCAATGCATGACTGTGGTTAACTTTTAAAAATGCAAAGTGCATAGTGGAGAGACTGGTATTTTCAATTCTCTATTTTTAAAGGGGAGCATGTGTGTAGGTACGGGTAGGATTTTTCTGAAAGGATGCAGAAGAAACTGAGAACGGTGATCGCCTCTGAGGAGGGAAGCTGGAAACTAGAAATCTGGATGGGAGCAGCTGTTACTTTTCATGCTGTAGCCTTTGGAGCAGTTAGGATTTTTGTTTTTTATCCAGGAGCATATATTACTTGTTTTATTAAACATTCAAAGCATGAAAAAAGAGTATAGAGAATAATGCAACAAAACATCCGTGGACCCACAATCCAGCTTATGAAATAAAACATCACAGATATAATCAATAGGCTCCGCCCTTACTGTTCTGCCTCCCTCCTTCCCCAGAAGTAACTGCGATGCTGAATTTGGCATTAACCATTCTCCTACACACTTTTAAGTCTCTCTTACATATACGCTGGTTTTGCATGTGCTTCAAATTAATTGAGCTAGGGGCCGGGGATTTAGCCCAGTGGCTCTGCCACCTGCCCCGCAAACACAAGGACCCGACTTCGATCCCTGGTACCAAAAAAAAAAAAAAATTAATTGAGCTAGTATTTATTCATGTACTTAGTATCCTACTATGCATATTCTTTGTAACTCAGGGTTTTTTTCAACTCTATGTTGTGTTTTTTGAGATCTCACCATGTTTATATAAGACTGTTGATTTTAGAACTTTCCTTTTTTTTAATACTGGGGATTATTCACATCACATGGAGCTACATCACCAACCCTTTTATTATTTTTTATTTTGAGGTGGATTCCCAATAAGGTGCCCAGGCTGGGCTTCAACCCACAGTCCTTCTACCACAGGTGTGCACCAACCCTCCCCTGAAGTTGATTTTTTAAAGACTAGATCAGTATTATAATATTTATATATCTACTTCTTATGACTGTATGTTTGAACATTGAGAAGATGATTTGACCGTGTGTGATACCAGAGCAATGTGCGTGTGCGTGTGCGTGTGTGTGTGCGTGTGCGTGTGTGTTGGACAGCCCCACTGAGCAGGTACCATGTGCACCTGTGCACTGTGGTACAGGTAGGAGAGTGTGAGGTTTTCCTGCTTGTAGTAGATCTGACTGTTGTTCAGCAGGCATTCACTTCTTCCCCATCCTCCACCTCCATGGAAAGAAGCTACTTCCTGCCCCATAGAGGTGAGGTTTAGTCGTGTGACTGGCAGGCCATTGGCATGTGGCCGAAGTGACAGTGTGTCATTTCTCCAATTAAACGTTTTCACTCCATTTGCTGGAGCTTCAGACCTTCTCTATGAAAAGATCCATCAAGGGCTCCAGAGACAGACTTAGGGAGACTTACGGCTGCCCCAGAGACTCACAGACCAGGCAGCAGGAAACAAGCACTCTTTGTTATATGCCAGTGAGACTGAGTGACTCAGTGTGTGGCCTCACGTACACAGCAGGAGGACACTGATTTCCACTCAGCTTGCACGTCTCGGCTCAGGCTGTCTAATCATAGAGAGTCACCCCGAGCACAATGCCCTGTCAAAGCTGATGCCCAATAAAGCTGTGTCTTGAGGTTCAATGTGTTTGCACAAGTGATTGCAAAAGCCTGGGCATACATGTGCCCAAGCATATCATACTGGTGGCCATAAGACCTTGAGCAGAAGTGGGTGCGTTGGCACACACCTGTAGTCCCAGATACTCAGGAACCTGAGGCAAGAGGATCACTTGAACCCAGGAGTTCAAGATCGGCCTAGGCAACATAGGGAGAGACCCCCAACTCAAAAAGAAACCCAAAAAAGCACTAAGACATGACGATCATGAGTTCAAAGGTAGCCTGGATTACATAGCAAGTCCAAGGCCAGCCAAGCTATGTAGCAAGACTCTGCCTCAAAAAAAACCAAAAGCCAAGTGACAATTCCCAGGCTTCCCACATCTGCCTGGAGGGCCAAGGGGCGGTTCAGGGCTCTACTCAGCTCTTGCCTCACTCCCTTAACCTGGGCCTTGGGCAACCTGAATTGAAGCTAGAAACATCTGAGGGAAAGAGGAAGCTTCCAGAACCACAGACTATGGCACCCACGGGATACAAGTGGCCACACTTTCCTCCCCTTCAAACTCTTCAGCCTCCATGGAAGGAGGCACAGAGGTACCTTTGTGGCAACAGAATGTAGTTCATCTCCAGAGAAGAGTGTGAGAAAAGGTGCCAAGTCCTTCAGAGTCTCTGCTGTCCAGTTCTGTGGGGGTCTACGAAGAGATGACAAGCAGTAAAATAAACCCCATGTGGTGATGGACATCATTTGCCCTTGTACCTTAGCATCTTTATTTTCAAGAACTGACCATTCTTAATACCTAGAAAGGCTGTCAATCACAGGGCTCTACTGTGGCCATGTGGGCATGTGATGCAGACTGACCAATCAGAGCTATCCCTTGGAATTTTGATGGAACTATCAGAGGGACTCTCGTTTTCCTTAGATCTCTTCCAGTAAAGAGGACACTGGAGGCCAATCCTGTCACCAAATGGAGAAAATAAAGGTCACACCAAGGAATTCTGAGCTGAGGAATAGGAGAAACATTTGAGACTCTAGACCCAGCCATGCCTGAACTCAACACCATGTAGTTTTCCATTATATTACATTTTTGAACTCAGCAAATTCCCACTTTTGTAAGTTTGAGTCAAATTATCAAGTTTCTGCAACTTACATTACAATGTTTCCTTCCTTCCATTCCTTAATATAATAAGAGTAATAATGGAGGGGCCAGGGATTTAGCTCAGTGGTTCCACCGCCTGCCTCACAAACACAAGGTCCCACATTTGAAAAAGAGTAATAATGGAGTTTTTCCTATTTAATTACCCAAACAGTCTTCTCTCACAAAAACAAATTTTTTCTCTTGAACTTGGCAGGATAACAGCCCTAACCCAGAACTTTGTTCTAAGATAGATCAGAAATGTCTATAATTAAGTACATGACACTATCTTTGGTGACATCTGTAAAAGAGATCTACCCAATTAATAGTGATAACCCCCACAAGACCAACTGCCCCTGGTGCCCACCTCTATTTCTTCAATAAAAAGTATCATCCCACTAGGCCACGAGTTCATGAGAGCAGAAACCACTCTTACTTTAATAACCACTTATTCTTTAGTCCTAATAGAAAAACAGTTGCCACATACTCAGCACTTATGTGGCGCATCTTATTATACATTCTTTACCTATATTAACTCATGTAAGCATCACAACCACCTGCTGGGAATGATGACTGTCCCCATTCTACAGATGTCAAAATTAAACTGCAAAAAGATTAATCAATTTTTCCCAGGCCACCTGGACAGTAAACGATAGAAACAAAATTTCAACCCGAAGATTGTGACTCCTGAGTTCACGCTGTTAAATTCTACACAATAGTATAATGCCTGTGACACCATAACTGCTCAAAAAATACTTGTCATCTCAGCCCTGACTGATAGCTAGGCTCTCCCTCAGGAGACACTACATGGGAAAGAACAGTTCTGTTTTCTTTCAGGGACCTCTGACTCACTCGGAGGTGCTGGTTCCTATCATCATCCTCCTCCAGTCATAATAAATACAATAATGTAGGAATGCAAACTGGTAGTTACTTTGGAAGACAGTAAGATGCCTTCTTTGAAAACTAAAATCATTCTTACCATATGATCCAGTAACTGCATGCTTTGGTTTTAACCCAAAGGAGATGAAAACTTATATTCACACAAAAATCTGCATATTAATGTTTATAGCAACTTTATTTATAATGGCCAAAACCCATAGGTAACCAAGATGTCCTTCAGCAGATGGCTCTCTACATAAACTGTAGTACATCCAGACAGTGGAGTATTAATCAGCACTAAAAAGAAATTATCTACCAAGCCATTAAAAGACATGGAAAAAAACTTAAGTGCACGATACTAAATGAAAGAAGCAAATCTAAAAAGCCTACATGCTGCATGCTTCCAATGACATGACATTCAGGGAAAGGTGAAATTATCAGTGGTGACCAGAGAGTAAGGGGAGGGAAGAATAAATTTACGTAGCACAGAGGATTTTTAGGGCAGTAAAACCATTCTGAATGACATTTAATGGTGACTATGTTTTCATACATTTATCCAAACCCATAAAATCCACAACACCATGAATAATTCCCAATGTAAACTACAGACTTTGGGTAATAATGGTAATGTAATGACAATAATGTCGATTCATCAATTATAATAAATACATTGCTCTGTTGGGAGATGTTGACAATGGGAAAACTATGGATATATTGGGGCAAGGGATATATGGGAATTCTATACCTTCTTCTCAATTTCGCTATGAACCTGAAACTACCCTTAAAAACTACTCTTTAAAACAATAAAAATGGACTTCTAGAAAGATGGCAGAGTGGTAAACAGCAGCAAAAGAACATCCTCGAGATTCAGAATCCAGACAGTGGAATATAACAACTTGGGGAAGAAAAGAAGGAAGATGGATCCCTGGGAACCAGGACAGACTTGAAGGGAGAATTGGAGCCCACAGGGAAGTGAAGAGACAGACCTCAACTCAGAAAAAGGAAGTGGCAAAGCACTTCCTCCCTGACTCCTGGCTTGCAGAGTGAGAGAGGAGCCTACAGAGACACAGTGAGTTCATGTGACTCCAGAGGTCTCCACGGAGAAACACACCAGTGGAACGGACCAGTGGATGCTGTGAACTACAACAGCTGGTGAGTGACTCTAGTTCAAACATCCCCTGGAGAGAGTGCTTGGCCAGACACCATTTTAGGGAGAGGCCAACTGGACCTTGGACTCAGAGCAGCCGTGGGTTGGCTTCCTCTCAGGGCTCCCAGTGACTGGATGAGGCACAACCACAGGAGACATTCAGGGTCAGAGAGCCAAGGTCAAGCCAGCAAGAGACACCCAGAGTGTTACAGGCTGAACAACTCAGGCCCCAACCCCACAACCAGAGGCCAGGATCAGCCTGAATTTCTGTGGAGTTGAAAGCACCAGAATCAACACCCCACCCTATTCCTACTGCAGGCTGGCTAGGATCATCCACCACAGATCTGGGCTCTGTCTGCCTCCTTTGTCTACCATGACAGTGGAGCCACACCCTGATTGGACACTATCACAAAACTGTAGACCCCAGAAGATAACCACAGGCTTGAAACCACAGAGAAATCTTTTTTCTCTCTTTGCTTTGGTTGTTGTTGTTATTTTTGCTTGTTTGTTTTTATTTTTTCATGAGTGTGGACATTGTTTTTATTGTTTTGTTTAGTTCTTGTTTTTGTTTTTTCCTTCTTTCTTTCTCTCCTGCCTTCTTCACCAGTTTCCCAAAGCTGGGGTAACTGTCCTTTGTCCTTCAGCCTTGCTTCTAATCTTTTTCTCTTCTTTTATTTCTCTATTTTTTCCTCTTATCCCTTTAAAATTTTCTCCCAAGGGTAAAACTGCTCTGTTGAGAGGATATTTACTGTATATGATTTTCTGATTTGTTTTATGTTTTATTATGTCACTACATGTCTTGTACCTATGCTTAAAGTTGACAAATTACCAGTTACCACAGTCTGTCATTTTCTAGACTCTGCTTGATGCTATTGTTATTACTGATTGTACTAATTTAGCCAAGGTGACGTAGTTGTTGTGATCAGTTCTTCTTCCTTATATGCCAATACCAAGATTGTCTGGGGGTCATAAACAATATCATACTCCAGTACCAAAGGACTAGGTGCTAAGTCAAATAGGCAGCAACTTCTCAACTCTAATAAATTGAAGAGGCAGGATCTTGGGATAGACTCAAAAGCCAAAAGCCAGCTATGCTTAGAAGATATATCTGAAAAGTGGTCATTTCCTTAGGAGGTCTCAGTACTAGTAATAAACTATCATATGCAATTTACAAGCGTCAACACAGAAAACGAATTTTTAAAAATAGAAAATGAGAAGACACAGAACCAAGATGCAACCCCAGACCTCCAGCTCACCCAAGGAAAATTCAGGGGGAATTGAGGTGGAAGAAATCAAAAGCCACCCAGCTGAACTTTCTGAAATGACAGCAGTGGAAGTAACAAAGCAGATGAATGAGGCTCTAGGAAAAAAATCAGAAATTATTTCACAGATAATTAAAGAGATGATGACCATAATAAGGATATGGTTAGTGAATCTAGAATAGATACAGATTTAAAAAACAGAGGAGCTTAGGAAAGTGATGGAAACCATGAATGCTCAACATAGGAAAGAAATGGATTCTATGAAGGAGATTTAAACATATCCAGGAGATTAAAAATTCTATTAAAAGTATGTGCAACAGAATCAACCAATGTGAGGACACAATATCAGGCCTAGAAGACAGGTTTGAGGTTAGTGATCATCAAATGAAAGACTTCTTAAGACAATAATAATACGAAACCTTACATTTTAAAGTGGTATCTTTTCAAAACTCTTTCCCTTCCATATGCCAGGGTGTGTCAGTGGCAAACATGTAAGGCTACAATTGTCCCACTTCACAGGGAATCTGAAGCCAAATCAAGGAAGTGCGCTTTTCCAGAATAGGTGCAGGCATCTGATCGTATCCTACGCTACAGACTGTCTTGGCTGACAGGGCAGGAGAGGCGAGCTTTGGTTCCCCCTCACCCAGCACCCTTAGCCCCACAAAGCTGAGCCCCAGCCCTCTCACCCGCTCTGCTCCAGGAGCCTGAGCCTCACCCCAGCCTTCTGCTCAGGGCTGAGGTCTGGACAATCTCTGAGGACGTGCACAGCGGTGGCCCAGGCCCTCGGGGAGATCCCCCTTTCAATGAAGGTCGCAGGTAAGTGGCAGAGCAGGTTCCCCACAATGTCCATGATGTACTCATCAGCAAGGGAATTGTCCTGAAACCAACAAGTGGAGCTGATGAGAGATCCAGCAGGGCTCAAGGACAGGATTCCTTAAAAATACTTCCTGCCTCAAACTTTTTAAAGATATTCCCTGCCATGGACCACAGAGACAGGTCCCCTGATTTTCCCCAGGGAGGCTGATCTCCAAAGTCTGAGAAAACCTAGCTGGGGACATCCTGAGCACTCAGTAGATGAGGGCTGTTGTTGTCACACCTCTAGGGACTCTCCAGAGTTCGACAAGCATCACAATAATAGTATAACATTAAAAAAAAACAGCACTGCAAAGTTTGTATGGCACTTGAAAGCTTTCACGGTTCTTTCTCAAAATGGTAAAAGCTTACATTTATTGTCTGCTCACTATGTGCCAGGCACTGTTTTAAGTATCTGCAGGTCTTGATCCATTTAATGTCCCTAATAACTGTCAGAGGTCAGCACTAATATCACCCGCTTTTTAAAGACAGCTTCCCAGGCAGCCTTGGGTCCTTGCTCTAAACAACACAGTGCCTACTTTATGCCCTCCAATCTCCAGGAGGCACCCACCTTACAGATGAGCAGACTGAGGCTCCGGGAGGGAATGCAACTTTCCCAAAGCCTCATAACTAATTGCTGCATGGCTGGAACTCTGACTCTATACCATGCTTTCTGCCCAGTCCTCCCAGTGGCCTCCCCTCATTCAGGCCCTGGTATAGGAGTCTGCAGAGCCAATTGCCAAATGGCTCCAACCAGTGATTTTAGAACCACAAGTCAGATTTCTTGCCATCACAGCAGGCTCCAGATCCCCTCAAGGGCTCCCCAGATGGCCACAAACACCCCAAGGAGAAGGGACATCAGTGAGAACGTCACTTATGAAATTTCCTTACCAGGCACTGCTGCACTTTCCTCAGGACCAAATTCTTTTTGTGGGAATCTAAAACCAAAGAGTCCAAGTGATTCTTCCCTAGGCTGATCAGAAAGGGCACACACTGGGAGGCTGGGACAGAAGCCAGGAAGCGTACCCTGGAGAGAGAAAGGGAGACTGAGGGGAGGAAGAGATTAGCTCCTCCACATCTGCTCCTGAAACCAAGGTCCACAAAGCAGGAAGTCCCCACTGCTCCTACCAGGCCTGGTTCTCCTCTCAGGCCTACCTCAGAGGCCAAGCCGAGTGAGACCTGCTTCACTAGTAATCGTACAGACATGAGGTGCTTTGCCTTTGGCTTTTAAATAAAAGAAAACCAAGAGAGTTTGAAAATCTATGTGGGGCTCAGAATTTAATTGCTAGTTCCTGAGAGCTTAGGTGTGTAAGGCACTCTCCAGGCTGCCTCTGGATTCTCAACAAAACACGGGTAGAGAATCACTTTGGCTCCAGTGATCTCACCCATGGCTGCCATGCTGGAGAAGAGGGGCCCACGATCACTTACGGAAGTGTGGCCAGGAGGAACAGCGGTATAGTCCACCTGGAAACGTCCCAGTATTTCCACGCCAAACAATTAACCTGGAAGATGAGTGGTTCTAGGAGTTGAGTCCAACAATAACCAGAGCAAACACAGAATGTGGTTCTGTATTCTAGGCCCTGTTCTAAGCGTTTCCTAGATGTTCATTTATATATAAAACACCCTGTGTTGCGGGTACTGCTACTGTGCTCACATTACAGATGAGGAAACAGAGGTAAGAAAAAGATGAACACAAAAGTTTCAGTGTGATAATGTTCATCCCAATTTCGCTTATAACTATAAGAAAGTGAGACATAACCTGAATGTCCAGCAGTAGGGGATTAGGTAAGTAAATTATGACATAAACATACAATACTATGCAGTGGATAGTATAAACTCATTTGTATTTTTTAAGTTACATGTAAATATGTCCATACAGTTCAAAGAAAAAACTCTAAGTTTTCCCTGTACTAATCTGTGGAAGAGGGACACACAATCTTGGGACTATTGACATTTTGGACCAAATAACTGTATTGTGAGGGCTATTCTGTGCGTTGCAGGATGCTGAACAGCATCCCTGGCCTCTGCCCACTAGATGGCAGTAGCATCCACCCACACCCACACCCTAGATGGAACAACCAAGGGTCTCCAAAAGGCCCCTAGGGAGCAGAACAGTCCCCTGTTGAGAAACACTGGTCTAGGGAAATTGGGGGAAATTTTACATCCTCCATATTGTTTTGCTTTATATAGTAATTATGTATTTTCAGTAAAATATAAACAATACAGACAAATTTTCTAATTAACTGGTATCTGAAGGTTCTCACCACTGGGAATCTAAGCAGCACCTTGCTGGGGAAACTGCTCCTACTCCAAACAGGTAGGTCTGCCCCAAAGCAGGTCTGACCTCCGTTCACTTATTCAGTTACTGATTTCCCTGTCTGGGCAGGATTCTTAACGTAGTTTGATGGTTCTCACTTCTCACGAGGGAACTAATTAGAAATGCAAATTATGCCATTCAGGGGTGTAGCTCTGTGGTAGAGTGCTTGTTTCAAAAGCACAAAGCCCTGGGTTCAGCCCTGGTGCTATAAAAAAGAAAGAAAGAAATGCAAACTCTCGGGCCTCACCCCAGACCTGATTTATGGGAAACTGATATTGTGGCCCACAATCTGTAGTGTTTGTTTGTTGTGTTGTTTACCATCCTGGGGGTAGAACTTTGCCTCCCATGTTAGGCAAGCACTAGGCAAGAGCTCTACCACTGAGCAACACCCCTGACCCCCAATTTGTGTTTTAATACGCCTTCCAGGCAATGCTCATACAAGCCCAAGTTTGAGAAGCACTTGCAGAATAAATAATCCAAGGAAATGATTGGGCGCTATGAAAATTTTGCATATTCTCTTAATCTCTTTTTTTTTTGCATTTGGAACAGTTTATTAGTTAATGCAGCTCATCCCTTTTTTTTGTTGAATTCTGCCAACTTCTTTAAAATATCCCCTATGAAAACATCATCTAAAATGTGTTTCTCTAATTTTATGAATGCCAGGTAGTCTGTCTTTCTTCTTTGCTCCACACTTCCAGCAAAACAAATTATTTGAAAATGATAAAATAAATAAAATGTGGCATTCTTTCTTAGCTTTTTTGTATCCTATACTAAAATATTTTACAACAATAGAGGTTGAAAACATAATTTTACTCTTTCTTTTCTGTATATGATTTCATGCCTACTATACGTGAACTAACATGGAATTAAAGCATTTTGTTATCCCAGGAATAGAAAGCCAAGGCTATAAGGGAAGTGTAAGTACAAAAATTCCAAAATGATTAACTTACAGTAAACACACACCAGAATATTACAGATTCAGCATATTTAGCATTCACTAGGCAAAGGAAGAGTAAGTACGAGTCTATATTTGGCTACTTTCTCTTCAAGACAACCACTTACCATTTTTCAAAGCATTATTGTTGGGTAGGTTTTATTGGAAGAAAGGGTTTATAAATCATGACCTTCCTCATCCAAAATCAAACCTAAATGAGGACTTACAGATGTGTATTACAAAAGACGTTGGCTGGAGAGAAAGGCTATATCCAAAAAGTCAGGGGCCATTAAGATAGAAAGGCATTCAAGATTTAGCATCTGCTAATCTCATTTGATAAATTTAACTGGATTTTCCTTTCTGATTATGTTTAACGGCCAATTTTCGTTTTACCCAGATATTAAGAAAACCACTGGGTTCTAAAGACAGGTTAATACCAGTTGAACTTAGGTTGAGAACTAGTCAGGGGGAAATACTTAACTGGTTGGGTAAGCAAATTTCTAGAGATTCAAAACGAGCTGTTTTTAAAAATACTTCAACTAGAAAAGATCTTCAAAGACAGTGGAAATTATAGAAGATCCTTCCTGAGCATTATTAAAATTATCTATGTGACAAGCTTAACAAGGCTGACATTCAATGGAGAAAAATAAATTTGCCTTTAGTAACCAGAAAAACTTTAAGCAATTCTTAGTCTCTTATTTTAAGCATCTCTTATTAAAACCTGTGATTTAATGAATGTTAAGTCTGCATCTTTGATGCCTTCTCTGCACCACCTTCTTTGCATGAGAAGTGGCTGAAATAACGTCCTTCTCACTTAGCTTCCAACCCTCTGTACCAGGCGGTTTGAAACATGGTGGTGAAGGAAGGCACTGCATCTGGGAGCAGGGTGCTGCTGAACAACGGCTTGGCGGCACAGAGGGGATCTTCCATGTCCCCATTCTCAGGGCACTGCAGCCAGGCTTAGCTCTCCAAATACACCATGCTCCTTCTAAAACATAATAACAGGCAACTCCAGCAATGTATCTCTCACTCTCACAGATGCTTGACTATACACAGGATAAACTATTTTCATTCAGCCCTCGAGTCTGCATCCTCTAGGGTGATGGCTCACGCTGGGGTGCAGCATGGACAGCTTGAGGCTCACTGTCAGCACAGCTCTTGCAAAAAACAGCATCTGGTCGGATACTGCATTTGATCCACTGAGTAAGTTCTTTCTGAGGCAAATTAGTAAAATCTCCCATTATGCTCCAGTGATTATAGATTTTTGCACAACCTTGTATTGATAGCACTGTTAGAATGCCAAAGATAAAACTCTCAAAACGAACTCTGTGAAAAAGTCAACCAAAGAGCCATCGAGAGCAGATCAAGGAAGCCACAATACACACGTGCTGTGTCACAAACAGCTTCAGCCTCAAAATCAAAATAGCAAGGGCTGCCAATGCTAACAACAGCAATGTGTGAAAAACCAGCTCACCATGTTTAAGGAGCTGTTTTCTCAGATAAGCGTTTGTAGATAAGGCACATAAAATGTCATGAATAGGTCTTTTAAAGATAAAATAAGTGATCACCATAACTGGAACCAATCACGTCTTTGTGTATCTCAGTCGCTTGTTCCATCAAGTCAGACTCAGGAGCACGGGTGTACATTAAGGTATCAAAATTTGTATACTGTAAGATTTTGGTTGCTATAAGGTCACTCAGGCTAGTGTGGTCTGAAATGCCTAAGATTTTAGACGTCAGAAATTTCCACATGATTATTCCAAGGCACCAACCACAACAACCTTGAATTTGTCAAAAGTTGAGTTCAGATACTTCCAATCTATGAATTTTATTTCTCTTTAGAATTATCAGCCGTGCCATTACACATCACGGGGTGGGGGTGGGGGGGCTCTCCACGCTTGAAGGAGTAGCACAGCACTGTAATTAGACCTCCTGATTGACTCCCACTCAGGTATGCAGCGAGGTGAAGAGCAATCCCATCGTTAGTCCATTTGGGATAAGAAGCAAGCAGGCCCTCCAGTCCTTCACGGCTCTCAACTTCCTAGGAGACCCCACTCTGGTGACACTCCAGCAGGCGCTGGTTTCCCGCCCAAATAAATTCATCATTCCTGTGGCTGCGATGCAGTACGCTAGGACTCCCCCTGGATAAGTTCAGAATCGTTTCACTGTATTAATCGCAAGGCGATGCTCACTGAGCCTGTCATTCCTAATCATCCACCTGCTTTCCAAACACGAAGGTGTTCCGGTAATGGTCTTGAAGTACGAACAAGAAAGTCCCATTTCATTGCACAAAGACATCTCCTCTTCCAAAGCGGAGAGGTGAGAAAAGGAGCGGTCATTCTCCAACAACGATGTTAAATGTCTCCAGTGCAAAATTCCCACAAGGACCAAAGGCGCAGCGCGGCTGCGGGTCCCGGGGCTCTGCAGGGCGCGCTCCCGGGGCCTCGTCCTCCCGAGCGCACGCAAAGGATCGCAAAGGATTTACGCCAGTGGTTCCGGGGATGGGGAAAGAACCCACCGCTGGAAAACTAACCTGGGTCTGAAGCCCCAGGTACCCGCCGCCTCCCTCTCAGGACTCTCTGCAGCCAGCACTGTGCCCGAGGCTTGCTTTTTACTAACTTGGCTACTATAAAAAGTCAGTTACTGCCTCCAGTCTCCCCAAAGAGCTAAAGCTTCCCTGGGACCGTTTAGAAAATAAAAAAGAAAGAAAATGCTCTTAGAGAATTAATTGTTCCCATTCTCAGCAAACCGTGGAAGGGACAGGAATGTTAGATGAGGGGGACCTTCAGTCCCAGGAGGACATGCTCCGCCCAAACATGCAGAAGGGTATACCTTACACGTTTTTAAGGTTCACAGATGAGTATGGGAAAACCAACTTGTCCAAACTTTGGCTGAAGTGATCTAGGTACTTGGAGATGTTAAAAAGAAATGTTTTGTTCAATATTAGGTGTCATCACTTGAATCTGAATAATTCTGGCATAGGTAGCTTCAGATACCTCAGTCATTCCAGGCCCAGTGCATAGGGGAAAGAGAGAGAGAGAGAAGCAGGTAAAAGTCTCGGTGGTACCTGATCCAGTGAAAGCAGAGAGAGATTGTTCTCGAAATACTGGAAATGGGCCAGGAAGGAGTTGCCATCCATGGCGTCAATGTGAGCGCACGTCACCCCTTTGACCAGCTGCCCCACACTAGAAAACAAAGCAGGACCAGGAGGAGAGAGAAAAGGTGGAGCGAGAGAAGACGGGTTCATTCTGACATCGGGTACAGGTGGGACTGTTCAGCTCTCCCTCCAGAGCCCTGGACTGAGTTATACTCTCCTACCTCAGGAGTTCCTCGGGCCTTCTGGTCACCTTTGACAGAAGCTCATACAGAAACAAGGCCTAAGGGAAGAGAGAGATTGAAGAGCAGATGGAGCCCAACACCAGGAGCCTCCCATTTCACAGATGGGAAAACAGGGTGAACAGAGTATGCTACTAACCCAGGACCAAACACTTGCTAAGTGGCCATGAGAATTGGAACTCATGTCATAGTGATCCCAGGGGCCACGTGGTTATATTCCAGACAGAGCTACAGTTTTGCTTGCTGTGCTCTCGGAAGCCACTGAGCCTGGAGGACTCTGCACCCCCTCTCTGCGGGCCCACCTGCTAGTCGGAGCACAGGGCATCCCAAAAGCAGCTGAATAGCCCAGGATCGGAAGTGCCATCCGTAAGGGGAGGCCTGCTGCAGTGTGCTCCGCAGCCCTCCCAGATGAGCACTCTAGGAGAACAATGCATAGTCGGCAGGGGACTCATTTGTTTTAAGGAGTGTAATTTTACAGAATACCTAACTTGCAGATGCGATCAAGTACGACATTCATCTATTTTATAGACTTTGAAACTTTGAACATAATTCCCCAAGCAGAGTAAATTATGAGCCAGCACTAGACAGGCACTTCTGTAACATGGCAGCTGAGGGCCTTCAAACATCGGGAAGGCCCAGATGAGAGGACCAAGGGTGGAGGGAAGCCCTGGGCACCCTGTGTGTGGCCCTGGAGATTTCCTGGGGCCCGAGGTCAGGTTCAAGGATCCTCTCAAGCTCTTCTGAGTCTCAGGAAATAGCAAGTCCATTAGCTCAATTGCTGGAACAAAAATAGCTGATGTCCTTGGTGGCAGGGTATATTTTCCAAAGTAAAATAATAGCTCCTGCCACTGAGTTTGCTGATGGTTTGTTACACAGCAATCAATCACTATAACATCATACAACCATGTAAGATGCTGGAGCAAAACCCCCAGGAAAAGAGAGGGATTTTTTTTTGGTCTGTTTTGCTCATATCTGCACTTCCAGAACCATGAGGAACACTGGGCATGTGGTTAGTAGGTACTCAATAAACACTTGAGGAGTGAATGAAATAAAGTGGATGAGCTAGACATAAAGACAGAGAAAGCTCTATGGCCAGGCATCAGTCTCAGTAGCACATTCTCCCCAGTCCATCTCAGTACTAGCAGCAGTATTTAATAGTGCATGTGATGACCACTAACATTTACAGCACACTGTGCATGAGCAGGTAGCATGATTTAGCGATCCTCGCCAGAAATTATCCCCACTTTGCACATGAGAAACAGCTTCCCCAAACCTAATAAATAAATGGGAGCTAGAATTCATGCTAGGTCTTGCCTAACTTCTTAACATTATGCTATGATGCCTTCTGGGTTGAATCACTCAGAAGAAAAAAAAATTGCTTTTACCAAATTAACCCAAAAACAAACCGCTCCCAGGAGACAGAAATACAGGCTTGATCTGTGCAGATCCCACTGGTACCTGGCTCCTCCGAAGCTCCTTTTCCTTCAGGCCTGTAGAGTTGAGTCGGGGTTCTCTCCGTAAGTCAAAGAGAGACACTTCCTTAAAGAAAGCCCCTTGCAGCTCCATGATGCTTGCGGCAGTGTCTCCTGCTTCGTTCAGCTGTCCAAAGAGAAAAGAAAGATGGTGAGAACCTTCTAAAAGGTGTATGGAGACCTGGGTAAGAGCTAGAGACTGCTCCATGGGCACATCAGATCCACTTAGCAACTCAATGAGGGAGAGACTATCAGTGTACCCATTGGAGGTGGGAACATTAAGGCTTAAAAAGTGATTGGTTGAAAGCCAATAAGTGAGATTCAAGCCCACGTCTGTGTTATTCAAAACCCCACACTATTTTAACCATACCTGCTCCCACTGTCCACAAGGAGCTAATGTGTAGGCTAAGGCCCTTGGCCTTGATTTCCTAATTGATTTTGCAGTTGGACACTGTGGGCTTGATAAGACAAGTCCCACTGCCAAGTGAGAAAGGCAGGTAGCCATGACTTCAGATCCCAGAAGGGGCCTTTCAGAAACACTCTCAAAACTTCAGCTTCATTTTTAGGCTTGAAAAACAAGTTTTTAAAAAGTTATTAGGTCAAGAAACCTTGTTTAAGAAAAGCCTTCCTGATGAGACTGGAGAGAGGAGCAATGAGGTCTGTCTGGGAAGAACCACAGCACGGCCAAAGGCTCTGTCTGGGAAAAGGAAAGATGAGCCTTCAGGAGGAGGCATTCTGGGGCTTCAGAACAACCCTCTATACCAGTGACTGAGACAATCACAGCCCTGAACAAATGGCTCAGTGTCAGCCCATTCACAAACGCCCACGCTGCATTCTCAGGGAGCCACTGTGTGGCTAAGGACCAGACATCTCCCTCTCACCTTGCTGAGGACACCGTGCTGCTGGGCAGGTGACAGATCTGACAGGTGCTGGGAGACTGTGCTTCTCAGCACCTGCACGAGGTCCTTGCCATCCATGTTGTGGAAGGCCTGGGTGCCAACCCCCGCCAGCAGCACGCCCATCTGGCTGACGTTGTGGAAGGACAGCACCTGGCAGAGGACAGCCACAGGGTGAGACTTTGCTCTGGCCTTTCGCCTCCTGGACCTACTGTCTGCATGTCAGGTATTGGGGCGGATGACACCTGAGGGACACAGTGATGAGCAGGACAGATGCTGCACTCCCAGACCTTTCTTACTTCTGTCAGAAAAGAAAGTTGTGATTTCCACATGAAGGATCCCCCAAAGACCCATGTGTTGTTGGTTCGGTCCCCAGGGCAGCAGTGTTTAGAGGTGGGGCTTTGGGGAAGAGATTGGACCTTGAAGGCTCTGAATTCCTCAATGGATTAACCCATGGATGAGCTCGTAGGTTAATGGGCATATTAGGGCCTAATTGGATGGAGCTTGTCACTGGGGCTGTGGCTCTGAAGGGTATATTTTGTACCTGCCCTTCCTCTTGAGTTCTTTTCCTTTCACTCTACTTTCCTTCTGCCATGAGGTGAGCACCTTTCCTCCCCTATGCCCTTGATGCTCCACCAGGTTGTTCTGCCTCATCTCAGGCCCACCGCCGTGAGACTGGCCAGCTATGGACTGAACCTCTAAAACCATGAGCCAAAATAAATCTTTCCTCCTTTAAATTGTTGTTCTTCGGTATTTGGTCACAGAAGAAGAAGAAAAAAATGCTAAGACAAGAATTAAATACCAAAACATAAGTTACATGATAAAGGATCTGCTGGGGGAATTACTATGTTATTCAAGCCCATAATATAAATGTCAAGAAATGGTGCCTTTAAGACCCAGTGGGCCTGTGTGTGTGCGTGAATGAGCATGTGTGTCTGTGCATGTGCATTTAATTTGAACTAATTGACAACATTTTAAATTGTTTTTAATTTTTAGATTAACTTGTTTTATGGGAAGAATTCCCATAGAAGTCCACACTTGAGTTTCTGTTTTAAAAAAGAAATCTAAACATCAGGCAAAACATTCCCACCTAGCCACGAATAGTAAGAGCTGAACAGCAGCTGCCCCTTGAGATGGGGGATGGGTTCCCGGTTTACCCAGCTCCTCACCCCCAGAGCCCTGAGATACCCCATGCCTCTCACTCATGTCACCGGACAGGTGTCTACCATGGAAAGGCCCCACACTCATCTGCATCCAGGTAGAAGCTGTGGTGGAAATAAATGTTTTAGGATGCAAGTCTGATATTTGAGGTCAAATATGGTCAGAGCTGGATATACTGTCAGAAATGAGGCTGCTTTCTCCCCCCTCCCTTACAGTGAAGCTGCCAGATGGTTTTCCGTATAATCAAGGGTACAACTTGCTTCTACAAAAGGATAGATGAGAAGTTTCATTCAGTTATTCTCTGTAGAATGAATAGTCTCTTATTGACCCCAGAGAAGGCGAGAACTTTAGAGCTCTTAGCCTCTGAGTCAAAGTGTTCTGTCCCTTGGTAGGAGGAACTGCACACTGGAGAAGAGACAAACTCCTTTTTCCAGGGTTATTAGGGGACAAAATAGTCACCCTCAGCTTCCTAAGACTAAATCCACAGAGAAATAGCAATGTGGACCTATGGAGCCCCTGTCAAGGTGCAGTGACTTGAAAAGCCTTCAAGGCCTTCAAAATAAAGTCTCCATGAGGCTGTAAAGAACAAGACATATGGGCCAGCCTTGGCCTTCGGTCAAAAAGGGTAAGTGTTTGGGTGACAGTGGCCGAGGTGCCATGGTAGAGACAGTGTGGGCGCTCAACAAGCAGACACTTGGTTCAATCCCAGCTTTGTCCTTTTATGCAGATTTGCTGATTCCCTGACATACCCTGTGCGTGACATAAATTACCTGAAAGTTGAAGATTATAACACCATTGACCTCATAGGGCTGATGGGAAGATTAAATGATTAATTCACTTAGAACAGAACCAGGCACAGAGTAAGTGCTTGGTAAATATTTGTCTTTGTTCCATATTGGAATTGGTCCTAATCTAATGGTCATGAGCCAGTTGGCATCCTGGGAAGTAGCTGTATGTGTGAGCTGAAGGACCAAGACACACAAATGCTTAGGGCTCAAGTTTCTGGAGTCTGGCGCTCTTTCACCTGGACCCACACAGGGAGACTGGTCCAAAGGAAGATCTATTTCCATCCCACAAGCAGCTAGAGCGTAGACTAAGGCTCTTGTTCCAAACGGGACCTTCTGCCTTACGTGTCCCCTCTTCAAGGCCCAAACTAGAATAAACAGTGTCACCCCTGATCCTATATTGAGGAATGTGCTAGCAGCCTCGAAAATAAGCAAGAAACTGCCAAGTGTGGTCGTGCACACCTGTAATCCCAGCGGTGGGGAGGCTGAGGTAGGAGGATTGCTGTGAGTTCAAGCCCAGCCTGGGCTACAAAGCAAGACCTTGCCTCAAAAAAAAAAAAAAGCAAGAATTCCCAGGGACAGACCCCACACATTGATCAGCAGCTCCATGACAGTTAACACACACACTCAAACTCTACTATGCCACCTGGTGTTCAAACATTTTTATATCACCCAACACATAAAATTCTGCAGCAACATGCTATTGCTACCCATTTAACAAAGAAAGAAACTGAGGCAAAGTGAAAGTGAGCAATTGTACATAGTCACACAATCAGCACATGACAGGGTGAGTATTCAAAGCCAGGCAGTCCTCCTCTGCACTACCTTCTCACTGTCCAGTTGCTCCTGCTGTGTATGTCCATCACCAACTGTTATGAACAAAACGTTTGTGTCCCCCAAAATTCATATGTTGTAGTCCTAACCCCAGTGTGATGCTATTTGGTGGTGGGGCCTTGGAGGTTAGATAAGTTCTGAGATAATTAGGGCTGGGTGGAGCCTTGGCCCACTGGAATCAGTGCCCTTATAAGAAGAGACACTGGGAAGCCTGGCCTCATGGAGGTCACGTGAGCACATGGCAAGATGGTGGCCTCCCATACGCCAAAAGAAGAGGCCTCAAAATAAAACTTAATTCATCAGCACCTTGACCTTGAACTTCCCAGCCTCCACAACTGTGAGAACTAAATTTCTGTTGTCTTAGTCACCCAATCTATGGTGTTTTGTTATAGCAGCCTGAGCTGACAAACACACTGGCCCTCAGGTCTTAGGGTTCTCTAGGGAGACTCAAAGTTCCAACTGACCTTTTCATGGGCCAAGTACTTGGCAGACAAGATGATGACCTGGCTTTTGGCCCAACCTGAGACCTGGTTGAGAGTGGAGATGGCAGCGTGCACGGCCTCAGGGGACAGAGATTCCAGCTGACTGGAGGTCAAACCCACAACCGCATCCGACAAAGAGCCCAGGGTCTCGTTAAGGGTCTGGTTCTCTGTGGCAATGTCCAGGAGGTCAGCTTTGAGCTATGAGGAGAGCAAACTGGAATGAGCATTGGCAGAAAGCAGGGCTGTGGCTCCCTCAGCTGTTTCCTGGGTACAGGACCCCGCCACCCCTCCCCATCCCTGCCCCATCAAAGCCTGCAAAGAAGGATAGAAGGGGACTCCTGCCATGCTCGCTCAGAACACCTCTCACCTGGCTTTAATGTGCTGAAAATTCAACTTGAGTTTCATTTAAAAATTCATGAGTTATTAAATCAACCTTAAAGCATGGCAGGAGGGAATTTTCCTTCCTTATAACTCCACTGAATTCTTGCAGCACATATTTTCCTTTTGTGACCTTGCACTCTATATCCATAAATACAGCCATTTTTCTTTTGGGAAATATCTGGAGGCTTTTTCATGATAATTTGTAATCCGTGAAAAAAATCATTCTCAACAGTACAAGAAAAGTTACAGTGTTCTGAAAATCCTAGTTCATAAAAATAACTAAGCGGCCGGGGTGTGGCTCGGTGGTGTAGCACTCGCCTAAAACGAAAAAAGGCCTGGGTTTGATGCCCAGCACAGAAAGTAGAGGAGAGAAAGGAAGGAAGGGAAGGCGGAGGGAGAGGGAAGAACTATGGTTAGCAATTGGGTGTACAGCCTTCTAAGTCAGTTTTTACACAGTTGTAATACGAACAAGAGTACAGTTATCTGGTCTGTGTTTGTCACATGAAACTATGTCTTGTACAGCTATGGTCATTTTTATTATTTTATTGCAATAGGCCTGCAGAGCTATAGCCAAATGTGCTTCCCAACTGCTTCTGATAAGGAAAGTAATAAACTCTCTACCACAGCCCAACCTCTATAACAAAAGCAATGGGGATGGTGCCTGGAACACCTGAATTTGTGGGAACAATATATTCACTTCAGAGCGGCGCGCGACTGTTCCGTGCAATTTGGAAAGAGCCACCAGGGGCCAGCAGAGTGAAGTAGAAGAAACCTGGCAGCGCCTGGCTTCTCTCAGTTTAGTGGGTGGGCTTCCCTGGGGCAGCTCCCGTGTCTGTAAACGGAAGGGTGGGCTGAGTGGGTCTCAGAGAGCGGTTCTTGACGGGTTGCAGCAGCACCACTCGGGAACTGGTTAGAAATGCAGATTCTCAGGCCTCGCCCCAGCGTTGCTGAAGCAGAGGCTCACGGCGAGAAGCCCGGGAATCTATGTTTAATGATCCTGCCCAGTGCATCCGCTGCACCCTTGTTTGAGAACGGCTGAGATGATCCCACAGGGCTCCCCCGCGTCTACTTTTATTCGACTTCCTTCTCGGTCAGGGCTGCAGGCCTCCCCCCTTTGTGGCCATAAAATGTATTTTTCTTATTTTTGGCTTGAGCTTGCTTGACAAGGATTTCTTCTCCTTGAAAGTAAAAACGCATACACATCGACGGAGATAGGTGACCCGGATGTGAACTGTCAGATGTGACGGGATTTGGGGGTTATGTGTGAAAAACTGCGGTAGAATTATTGATGGCTTAATCAAATTTTTCTTTAAGATCACTCACAACATCTTTTCAACTAAAAAAAATTAAAGCTGGGGTGGGGGCGTACGTCTGTGACCCTAGCATCCTGGGAGGCTGAAGCAGGAGGATCACAAGTTTGAGCCAGCCTGGGCAACTTAGCAAGACCCTGGCTCAAATTTAAAATTAAAAAGATCTGGGGGTGTAGCTCAGCGTGAAAGCCTTGAGTTCAATTCCCAGTACACCTCCCCCGCCCCCCCCCCAAAATGAAAGGGAGGACCTCAGAATTGAGATTTCAGTGGGAAAAAGAAGACAGAGGTGGAGGGCGGAGGGAAATGAGAGTCTGTATTTGCTAATTTGTCCAGAGCCTGGTCAGTAAGAGATGCAAATATCAAACATTGAGAGTGGTGAGGAGAAATGAGTCATCACTGCCAACTTGGAGGTGGGGAAATTGTTAAATGATCACTGTTACATAGACCCTTTGGAGGGCAAGCCAGTTGGCACATGAAATGGTGAAAACAATCGAAATTCTACCAGTAGAGTCACAACTAGAAATTCTGTCCAGCAGTTTAAAAGAATGGACTGATAATATGGGTATGAATTTAACTAAATGACTCAGGTATGGGAAAAGCAAATTTTGCAGAATTATGTGCAGTGTGAGCATAAAACTAAATCGATAAATAAAACCACCCATCCAGGTCCTGAACCCCAGCTGCGATGGAATCACCGGAAGCACTTTAACACCATACACACTTAGGCCACGCGATAGACTGCTGACCACAATCCCTGGTGGAGAGGCTGTCAGGCATCTAGAGCCACGCCCGGAACCCTTGCTCAGTCTGCACTATTCCAGCTGCTCCACATCCTCCTGAAGCTGGATGAAGTGCAGCTCACAAGGCCTCCCCAAGCCTCCTGAACCCAGATCTGCGTTTGAGACTCCAAGTGGTCAGGCATGGTGTGCATGCCTAGATCTCCAGCTGAGGCAGGAGGATGGCGAGTTTGAGCCCAGCCTGGGCAACCTAGCAGTGAAAGAGACCCTGTCTCAACATAAAAAATAAAAAGGGCTGGAGATGTAACTCAGTGTGAAGGCCCTGGTTTAATCCCTAGTACCACAAAAATAAATAAAAAAAATAAAAATGGGAAAAGACCCCAGGCGATCCTTATGCATGTCTCACTTGGGCACAGCTGATTTAATTCCATCTTCCTAAGATTTTTCCTTGTGCTATTTTTTTTGTCATCCTTCCTGTGTTATGCTCATCTGATCTCCTCTTCTATGGGTGGACTTAGATCCTGATTAATGCTACATGTTTTCGCTCAAAGGCCAGGCAAATGTGTTGTTCCCATTTCTCTGGCTGGTAAAACTGAAGCCAGGGCCCCGAAGACATGCATTCTGCCTGCACTTTTCTTTTTCTAGTACTGATGACTGAACTCAAGACCTTCCCACTGAGCTACATCCCTAGCCCTTTTTTATTTTTTTATCTGCAGGCAGATTTTGCTAAGTTGCCTGAGCTGGGCTCAAATGTGTGGTCCTCTTGCCTCAACCTCTCAGAGTGCTGGGATCGCAGACTCTGTCCGCACCTTCTGAACACCGGTCCGGAAGCCCCGCAGGTGGCTGCACTTGATCATCTGGTGAAGCAGGACTTGGGCCATCGTGGCATCCAGCAGCTCCAGGTCATTGTAGAAACAAACCAGCAGCCCCAACCTGTGCGGGAGGATGAGAGATGCTGGTGGAGGGCTCGGAGCTGGGGCTGCAACCGAACCCACCCCTCATCCCAGCCAAGAGGGTCACGAGCACAGTGGCTACCACTCACCAAGTTCTTTAACATGCACTTTTTTATCACAACCACCCTGTGAGGTGGGAGCTCTCCTCGGCCCCATTTCACAGAAGGGCAAAGTGAGACTCAGTGAGATCAGGCGACTTTCCAAGGTAAACAGTAGAGCTGAGACTCTCATCTAGATCCACACACCTAACCCATCTCTCACCTGGGAGGGGTCAAAGCCATAGGTAAAAGATGGTGCTGACATTTAAGAAGGGAAAAAAGAAACACTAACAGGCAAAACAGCACAAGGACAGAGGGATTCGAACTCTAACTGGGAGCAACACATCCAGGGATTAAGAACATAGATTCAGGCCAACTGGAGTTGGAAGCCCAGTTCTCCGAGATACCTGATCTCCAGTGAGTGACAACTTCCCTACAAGGTTGCTGCATACAGTTGTGCAGCACGACTACGTAGGGTGGCCCTGCCTCTCTGAACATTTAATAAAAGAGACTTGCTCTGTTCACCATAGCACATCATAATAAATATGATGAGTGAAGGAATGAAGTAACCATGACAGCTAAACGAGAAGAGGCATACCCAGTGATAAGCGTACTTCACAGTGGATACGAGGACTCCTTCATTAATGAATGTTCTTAAAGCTAAGATGAAAACTACTCAGCCTAGCATGGCCAGACTGCCAGGCTGACCACAATCAACCTGGCTCCACCATCTCAGAAAGATACTGATGTATCTGGACATGTATGCTGAAGAGAAACCTGGTCCAGGGAAAGGATATTTGAAAATATCCCTGATGAGAAAGAGAGAGCTGCTTAACTCGCGGAAAAAAGAAAAGACTCAGGAGGAGTGAGGGATAAGGTCAATGACCACCAAAGTCCAATGCATGGAATCAACCTAAATATATATCAGTAGATGAATTCATTTCAAAAGTGGTTTAGATACACAATGGAATACCATTCCACCTTTAAAAAGAAGGAAAACCTGTCATTTCCAACAATATGGATGAACCTAGAGGAAATTATGTTAAATGAAATAAGCCAGACACAGAAAAACAAATACTACATGATCTCATTTATATGCAGACCCTAATTTTTAAAAAGTTAATCTCGTAGAAGCAGAGAATAGAATTTCAGTTAGACAGGAGAAATAAATTCTGGTGATTGTGGTCACTATTGTTAATAATAATGTATTATATTCTTAACAATTGCTGAGAGAGTAGATTTTAAGTGTTTTCACTACCAAAAAAGAGAAGTGATAAGTATGTGATATAATGGATATGTTAATTAGCTTGATTTAACCATTCCACAATATATATCAAAGCATCATGTACACCATCAGTGTGTACAATTTTTGTCAATTTAAAAAATAAATTATTTTAGAAAAAATAGTATTCATTGAGTACTTACTATGTTCCAGGTATGCTTAATCCTTATGAAGATCTTAATGAGCACGGAAGATTCTTGTCTTCCACTTTGTAGATGGGAAAACGGAAGCACAGAGAGGCAATGCCACATGGCCAAGAGCACACAAATTGTGCACAGCACAGCCAAGATTAAATCCAAGAAGTCTGGCTCCAGGTCCCACATTCTTAACTGTGAGTCTTTGGGGGGGGGGGGGGAGAACCATAGAAATGTGGAACTCATTTGTAGTGGGTGAAAATTCCTAGGGATGGGGGGCTGTGGTGGAAAAGTTTTATGAACAAACACTCTAAAAGCGGCTCATTTGAAAACCTTTAAGGTGATACGGTGACGTTGGAGGGACCAGTGTGACAATGAGACCCTGGAGGACAGAGAGGCGCTCACCACCCCATCCTCACTGCCGGCTCCGACAATGGAACCCTGCTTGGTCCCAGCCCTTCCAGTGGTGGCTCCTGGCCCACCCCTGCTGGAAGTGGTTCTGGGGGAATCATGATGCCATCACTAAATTCTACACTGGATCTTGTGCAGAGGCTCCCAGCTGAGTCTGATAATAGGAAGTTCTCAAAACTGGGGACCCAGGAGCTGTTTCCAATGCTTGATACAATCTAAAGCAAATGATGCACTCCCCTTGGAAAAGACCAAGTTCTAGGTATTTAAAATGTCCCATTTCCACGCTTAGAGTAGAAAGTAGCACTTGAGAAGGTGACACAAAATGCCTGGCTCACCCTGCCCCACTTCATTACTATCTAGTAATAATAGTAATTATTATTCCCTTCCTTCCCTGAGTCAGAATTGCTTCTTGAAAGACATTCCAGAGGGCCCAGGATCCACTCCCTTGCCTGTGGATGGTCGAGGTGTTCCTCATGTCGAAGCTGGAGGAGCTAATCTTCTCCAGAAATGCTCGGGCCAGTTCAGGAGTGATGTCATAGACTGTATCCAACTGCTTGGTGGCATTGTCATAGCTGATAAACAGCCCAATCTGAACAAAGACAGGAAGATGGATGAGTCGGCAGAAGTGGACCCCTGTGGCCCCATCCTGGTGATTTGTGCTGTGCCCCCATCCCAGACCCTTGGATACACCACTCAGTTCTCAACTGGCATCTGTCATTGATTTCTTAATGGTCTACAACTTTTCTTTGGTTTCCTCTCCAACTTTACTGTTATTTTTTAAGTGTTTTTTTTATATTCCAGCAGCTAAACTTTGTAAGCTAATCTTTGCACATCTATTGCTAGATTTATTGTGCTGAGGTCAGAGAATATGGTCCACAAATTTTCTGCTTTGAGGAATCAGAGTTTTTTTTTAGAAGATCAGCAAGTTTATAAATAACTCTGTGGTAATGAGGGGAAATATTTGTTCTCTTTGTAAGATACAAAATTCAGTGCATATATATTCAATTGTATTAAATGTGCTATTCAGATTCTCTATATCCTTGTTCCCCCCTTGCTTATGTGTCCAAGGGTGTCGCACTGACTGCTTCTACTACTATCAGGCATGTATCCACTTTTCCTTGTATTTCTAACAGATTTTACACTCTATATTGTGATGTACCATAACTGTATTTAAAAGAACTCATAGTTATCTCTCTCTTGTGGGTCATATACTTTATCCACATATAATTCCTTCTTACTGTTAATGCTCTATGGGTTCCTCGCTCTTTTCTACATTTTCAGATTATGGTAAGCTCCAAGGCATGCCTGACTTTAGGAGTTCCTCCAAGAGCTCAGAGCCCTAAGAATATAAAATATCTACCTTTCTGAAAAATCACTCAACAATGGGAGAGTCAAATGGAAGGGGGAAATTGTTAATCCTAGGACAAAGGTTATAAAAGTTGAAAGATATTTAAAGTACTCCCAGTCTCCTAGATAAAAGAGAAGAACTTAGTTCTGCCTCTGGTTTCATAACCAGATATTGTTGGGTCAACTGGTCTTACTAACAAGTCAATCATTTGATGCAAACTGTTCTCTCACAAGCCAAGAAAAGGTCATGGCACATATGTTTAAAAAATAATTGGAGTCAATACCCAAATTCTTTATGAAGACCTCTGTGTTGGCAGCATTCTGTAGAGGTTTTGTTCAGAGTCACGGTGCCCAAGAGATTTTGATATTATTGAGTCAACTAACCTTAGACATGTACAATCCTTTAAACTCTAGAGCCAAAATCCAATCATTCCTCCTGCTGAAGTAGCTATTAACAGAAGTCACTATAAATAGAAGTAGCTATTAACCCTTCAAAGCCTAGTGTTACATTTTAGGAATGCCCATTACAGTGGAATGTAATGAAATTGTCTATCTTCAAATTCTTGTTTCTTGAATTTTTCTAGGTAACATATATGAAATTGCAAAAAATTCCCAAAAAATGCACTCTTTGGCCTAAATGGGTTAATACCAGTTACTTTTGTTATGAGTTCATTCTTCCAAGGACTGGAAACTCCATAGCTATTGTTCTTGGCCTTTCTTGAGTATAAAAATATCCTCAAATGATTTTTGGGGGGAGTTCACAGTCAGTATTCCCTTTATATCATGTTTGTTCACATCAAACTCTTGGTTGTTCAAATTACTTCTTTTCTTAGCTCTCCTAGGCTAGAACACACTTCCACTACAGACTGCTTGGGGCCTTTTAACAAGAGTTTTCTTTAGAAAGTAAAGATATATTGGGCTAAATCAGGTACAAAATTTCTGGGCAACTTTGACTAGCTGATTGAACACTGGAGTTGTAGAATATACCTTACCCCGGGTGTATTAGTAATGGGGACATACAAAATATTTTTCCAACTTACTTCTATAGAACTAATTTTCATAATTTCTTCAAATGATAGGTGAACCATATATCTGCCCAAAATCCATAAGTTTTCTGCACTGACCCATGAAACAGAATCACCTACAGAAAAAAAACAAACACACACACAGACACAGACACAAATGAATGAGCAAGTAAGTAAATGGATAAATAAAAGCCTTTCTACTGCTGTGTGATGATCAACAACATCTTTGGTGCCAAGACCTTCTTACATTCATGAAGTCCTCCAACAATCATTTATTGAGTGCTTGCCTGTAAAGCACTGCTCTACATGGGCCATGATCCCAGATGGTCACCACTTGAGACTTTGCTACTCAATGGTATGGTCCCTGGTCTAGCAGCATCAGCACTACCTGGAGCTTGTTAGACATACACATTATTTTGTATTAATCAAAACTAAAAAATACAGTCAATTATTTTTAGTTCAATTAGTTATTAAATAATCTGGCAATTTGAAGTATGTTTGGCTCTTTTATTACTGTCTCCTCTACAATCCATGAGTAATAAGTTTTAGTGATTATCATACTCATCGCCATGTTACTCTACTTGAACCAAACCAAATAACTCTTCCCTCTCCACAGGCACCCCAAATGTTCTCCAAATCTCTGCTTCCTTGGGCCCTTCTGGCCACCTCAAATGCCTTTCCTTAACCTGGGTCCAAGTCTCATCTTCAAGACTGAGCTCAAACTTCCTCTTCCCTAAGGCCTTCTCTTACCTACTTGGCCAGAAGGAATCTCTCCCTCCTGAAATTCCCAGAGGACTCTCTCTATCGGTCTGCTCTGGCATTTGAAATTTCCCATCAGCAATGTGTCAGTGGGACTTTAAGAACAATCATGTCTAAGATCCAACTGCAAGTTTCACTGAGCTGGAACTGGCTACCATTATCCCCAGTTTTACACACAGCATCGTATGGATGGCATTTGGGCAAAGAAAAAAGGGGAAGGCGGGCACATGCCTCTGGGATGCTGAAGTAGGAGAATTGCAAGTTGGAGCCCAGTGGAAGCAACAGAGGAACTTAGCCAAAACCTGTCTCAAAATAAAAAATAAAAAGCCTGGGAACATAGCTCAGTGTGAAAGCCCTGGGTTCAATCTCCCTGTGGGGTAGGGGAGACAAAGAGGAGAAGGAGAAGGAGGGAGGGAGGGGGAGGAGGAGGAGGAGAGAGAAGGGAAAAGAAGAGAAGGGAAGGGAAGGGAGAGGAGGGAAGGGAGGGGAGGGGAGGGAGAAGAGAAAGGAGCATGTGAAACAGTTGCTAAAAGCTGTTTCAGGAGGTGTGGGCAGTGGCTGATGCTCAAATGACCTGGCGAGGTGGCTTTTGCATGAGCTGATTCACAAGAACCTCTGGATGCCTCCCCCAACCTGGAATCAGAGGCGTGCAGATCACAGGGGACTCTGAACACTTGATGTGGCTAATGAAGGACAGGATGGCCCCAGGAGTGGTAGAGAATTGGGGAAGAGGAACTAATTATTAAGCATGAACTGTTCTTCTGCAGACCCATGATCTCCAAGCTTGGGACATTTTTAATAGTCAAAGTATTTCCAGTTACCTCAAGGACAATCATGGAAAAAACAATCTAAGGTCCAAATAGATTGGATTTCATTCACTGAGTTTAATAATGAAAGTTAGCATAGAGGAATTCTAGAAGGAAAATCTGTCACTAATTAAATTCTGGTAATAAAGACTTGGAGAAGTCTAGAGGTTGAGTGACTTTATCAGGGTTACTCAGTATGAGATTCGGATTCCTGGCAGCCTTATTTATAGGCAGAGGGAATCCTACTATACACTTAAGACATTGATTACAATGTTGTTTAATGTTCCTTACAAGCAAATCTCAAAGTTTAATTCCAGGGAGATGGATTAATTGACATTCCTTTCCCTCCACCCCAGCTGGCTTCCTTTATGCTTCCCCAACCCACTAATCTCATTCCCATCCCAGGACTTTTGTATTTCTTGTCCCTCCGCCAAGAATGTCCTTCCTCTAGAACCTCACATGACAGATTCCATCTCCTCATCTTGGTCTTAATTCATGTCACCTACTTGAGATTCCTTAATCCAACTAACAGCCCTTGGGCCAAATCCAAGCTACAACCTGTTTTTATACAGGCTGGAAGCCAAGAATGGTTTTCATAAATTTTTTTCCTTTTATTAGTACATGTCTTCAGTACATGATGATTACATTCACTGCAGGGAATTGGTACATGTGTATAACACATTTCAGCTCCCCTCTTTCCCCCTCCCTCTACCCACCTTTTATTTTCCCAGCATCATTTGTTTATCTTACACGACCTTATAAAGCTAATTATCATATATACAGATTGAAAACCAGACTAATAGGCCAAAGGGTCTTCATATCTTTAAATGGTTGGGAGGAAAATCAAAAGTAGACTAATGTTAGGTTACATGTGAAAATCATGTTAATTTCAAATTTCACTGAAAAGTTTCATGGGACACAGCCCTGCCTATTGAGCTACCATCCTTGGATGTTTTCACAATGCAACATCACAGACTATAAATATTTATTCAGCTTTTAAATGCCCTTTACATTAAGTATTTGCCAAGCACTATTCTAAAGTAGTAACCCTTCCTGCAGTATCGATCTATTTTTTCTTGTTATGGTTTCGATATAAAATGGCCCCCGAAGCCTCATGTGTTTGGGAGCTGGTTGGATTACAGGAGCACTGTAGCTGGCTTGCTGCTAGGAGGTGGGGTCCTGCCAGAAGGATGGATCCCTGTGCACCTGATCTGAAGGTCATATTTCCCTTTTGGGCTCCTCCCTTCTCACTCTGTTTCCGGGCCAACATCACATGAGCAGCTTCCCTCCACCAGGCCACTCTGTCTCCCAGACTCAGCCGACCATGGACTGAAACATGAGCCACATAACCCTCTCCTCCTGTAAGTTCTGGGTGTCAGTACTATGTCTCAGTGCTGAGAAAGTGACTAAGAACCCCTCTTCCTAGCAGCTTCTCCTGAGTTCCCTCTCCTGTCTTCCTCCCTCTCCCTTCCTTTCTTTCCTCACTCTCTCCTCATTTAAAAATTTTCTCCCTCTACCCTTCTACAATAAAATAATAGGTAGGGCCATGACAGTGGAAATTTTGTCTTATTTTCTTCTGTGTCCTCAGCTGCTGACACACAGTGGGCTGTCTTTAAGGTTTAAAAGTTTATTCTATTTACATTACTGACATTAAACCCTTAACGTGTTGAAGGTATCTGCAATTGCATTGCTAATCTACATATCCATGCTTTTCCACATTTTTTCTCTCAACTGTGCTAAAATATACATAATATAAATTTCAGTGTCCTAATATCAATTGTTCGCTTTGATGGCATTAAATAGAGTCCTTCCTCAGTATCCACTGGGGTTTGGTTCCAGGACCCCCAGAGATACCCAAATCCTCAGATACTCTACTCACTTGGGTGAATAAAATGGTGTGGCTTTCGCATGTAACCTCCACCCCTGCTCTCTGTGGACTTCAAATCATCTCCAGATTGTTTAGACCTAATACAATAAGTGTTATAAAATAGTTGTTCCACAGTATTGTTTAGGGAATAATGACCAGAAAAAGTCTGTACATGTTCAGCACAGGTGGATTTTTCTTGAGTATTTTCCATCCACAGTCAGTCGAACCCATAGATGTGGAACTCACAGACACAGAGGCTTTACTGGGTTTCCACACTCTGGGTTTATACCATCACCACCACCCATATCCAGAATTTTTTGCATCTTACAAAACTGAAACTCTACCACCATTCCAATTTCTCTTTTTATGAACTTGACTATGCTACGACATAGACATTTAATAAATATTTTTCAAATAAATGAATCCTGACCTATTTCCACTTTGGTTGCCAGGAAGCTCAGAGCTAAATGTCTGTGCTTTATTACCTAGGTTTCTTCATTAAAGTATCTCACCTCCATTTAATACAGACACTTTTATATAGATTTTGAACTTGTAACCCTATTCTAAAAGTTCTCACCGAACCTAAGATGTGCTAAAAAATTAGGACACGTTGTTAATTGTAAGATACAGATACATCCTCACTTCAGACACTTCAATATGGGAAGTGTTTACATGTGAAATGGGGTTTCATTCAGAAGCCCTTCTGGAAATGGGAGAGAATGGTAAAAATCACAAGTGATCAAGCACCTATTTGGAGGGTGGGCTTCCCCCAAATACTCCCCCAGCGCAAGCTCACCAGGGGCATGGGAGGATGTACGCAAGATCCCCGTCATCCAGGAGTACAGAGCTCTCTGGGCACCAGCCGAAGTTCGGTCATAGAGATCCTTGAACAGTGCAGATCTGAAGAAAGCAAACACGGCCATCATTAATAAGCAACAGGTGGAGGGTGCTCGACCGGGAGTCAGGGGGATAGATGAGCCAAAGCCATCGTGCACCGAGACCCTCCCTGCTCCTTCGCTAGACACAGCTATTTTCCCAACTCTCATCTTCCCCTTCACAGCTTAGCACCTTCCAGAGTGGTCTCCACAAAAGGTCTCCACTTCCTCCCTTCTGGGTCCTTCTTTGTTCTTGTAACAAAACAGCTTTATTGAGATATAATTTACGTGCCTATAATTTATCTCCTTACAGTGTACAATTCGGTGGTTTCCGGTTTTTTCTCAAAGTTGTACAGTCTCATCGTTATGAATTTTAGAACATTTTAAGCACTTCAAAAAGAAACACCAAGCCCTTGGCTTTCAGGCCCTCAACCCTCAGTCTTCCCAATGCCCAGAAACCGGTAATGTACTTCCTGTCTGTATAGCTTTGCCTGTTCTGAACACTTTCTCTAAAAGGACGAACATGGTATATTCTGTCTGGCTTCTTGCACTTGGCACGATGCTGTCTTTCTTTTAGTTTTTTGTTCTTGTTTTGCTTTTGTTTTTGCTCTGAGGCAAGGTCTCACTATGCAGCCCAGGCTGGCCTTGAACTCACGATGTATGTGGCCAGGCTGGCCTCCAATTCATACTTTGGCCTCAGCCTCCCAAGCACTGGGATTACATGCATAGGCCACTGCTCTCTCTTGGCATGATGGTTTCAAGGTTCATGCATGTCATAGCGTGTATCAGCCCTTTTCTCTTTTAAGAGCAAGAGTAGGTGAAAGGGCTGGGGAAAGATGTAGATTTTTAAAACGTAAAAAAAAAAAGGTTAACATCATTGAAGGGAAAGCGTGCCCATTTGCAAAAATGCTGGCTCTGTTACTTCCTATTAGCATCACCTAATGTGAATTAGTCTCTCTGTTATTTAGTTTCCTCGTATGAAAAATGGGTATGGAATTAATGGCATCATCCTACAAGGAGAGGGGCAGCAGGGTAGAGTGGGAAAGGTAGCAATAGGGTCCAGGAGAGCTGGACTGAGCTCAGGTTAGGTCGGATTCCATGAGACTAATGGCTCTGTGCTCCAGAGAGACCAGGCCAGACGCTGCTGTGCCCTTCTCCCACAGGAGGAAAGCACAGAGATGCCCTCTGTGAACAGAGCCCGCCCCATAACGGCAGTCCCACCATGCCTTCACCTGGGACGTCGCGGCCTCCAGAGCTGTGAGAAACAGATGTTTGTGGTTTAAGCCACCTATGGTATTTTTATGACAGGGACCCAAACTGACTAAGATAGTCAGGTAAGCATCATGGCTAGCTAGGATTTAGTGACACTTTGTTTTCATTGTATTTACTTTTGTGATTGCTTTTACCTAAAACAATAGATACTGGTTTCTCATTTATGATAATGGTATCAAATTTACACGTGCGTGCATGCGTGTGTGCGTGTGCGTGTGCGTGTGTGTGTGTGTGTGTGTGTGTGTTACTGCCAATGGAACCCAGGGCCTTTATTTTAAGATAGGGTCTCACTAAGTCACTAAATTGCCCAAGCTGGGGATTGAACTTGCAATCCTGAGGGCTCAGCCTCCCAGAGTGCTGAGATTACAGTTGTGCGCCACCTCATTTAGCTCAAATTTACTTTTAAAATAAATATTCTTAAGGAAAAAAGATGAGTCATTAAAAAGAACAACATGAAATAAATCATGGTGCAAATGGATAAATGGGGCAGAACCCGCAGGGGCGGCGCCCCGTGGACTGAAATTTCAGGGGCCCCATTCTGGTCAGCGTCTCCCACCTCTACAGACCGTAGCACAGTACATCAGGTTAAATTCCCTAAAAAGGAGAATTACGTGGCTGCATAACACCCACATTTATTGTTTGGGAGTGTTTCTATTGATGAATTATTTTAATTTTATGAGTTTTATTATACAATGTGTACTTAACAGGAAAATAAAGTAAAATATTAAATTGTAATATGTATTTAGTGTTTACAATAAACATTAACATTTTCAGCATCAACTGTTTGCTTACAAAATCTAAAAAATAACAGAGATAAATTCCTATATGAACTACAGTGAAAATACAAATGAAACTCTACAACAAAAATAATCTTTACTTCGAGTATCACACCCAAGGCAGTTTTCACATGTGAAGGCAGTATGTTCCACACAGAAGCATCACTCACTGGGACAGTGCATGTGTTTTGCTTTCCTGTCTTTTTTCATAGGACACACTTGACATCTTGCTGGCCTTGCTGTTTTGCTGGAAGTTCTTTTTTTTTTTTTTTTTTGGTACCGGGGATCGAACTCAGGTCCTTGCACTTGCACAGCCGGCAGCAAAACCACTGAGGTAAATCCCCAGCCCAGGAAGTTCTTGCGATGTTTCACCTGTCTGTTCAGAGGTCTGTTCCAGCGTTCTTCTGCAGAGTTCTTTGAGCAGATATCTATTGTTCTTCCCCAGTTGTAATTGATCTTTTATGAATTCCAGCCCCAATTCTCTCAGAAAATCTCCCTGTGATAGTTTGCACTTGCTATTTTCTTGGTAAACTATGGTACTGTTTATGCCTGACATGATTAGGAGGGAGTAAAACACAACCATTGGCCAATGGTTTCAAGTGACATCATAGTTACTGCATAACTCGTCAACATCTGTCTACTTTGCCTTTTGTTTTGTTGTAAAATGTGACCATTTCTGGCTTCATTTATGTTGAGCATTCACTATCAATCTTTTTTTATTTTTGTTTTTTGAGACAGGGTTCACTATGTAGTCCAGGCTGGCCTTCGACTCACTATGTAGCACAGGCTGACCTTGAACTCACAGGATCCTCCTGCCCCAGCCTCCTGACTGCTGGAATTATGGAATGCAGCACTATGCCCAGCTTCACTTCAAGCTTATCGTCATGGTGTAACACTGACAGTCTCAATACTACTTTGTTTTTCTTCACCATGTAGGAGGCCAATGCTACGTCTTTCTGAAATCCAAAGATGGTACTATACATTTCTCTATTGCGGACTTGGAACATTTTTTTCGGGAATCTCGGCTTTACTCTCGCTTATCGTTCCTGTGCTGGTCAACTGGTGTTCTTTTAGCAAATGTAACATCAATGGGTAACTAGTTAACCATTGTCAAATGTGATATTTCCATTATTTTTTGAAATAGGTACAAGCAGTCTGTTCCCAACTTCATATGGTTTATTACTGCACAAATGAAGACCTGGTGGCTGAGTTTCAGGATAAATTTCTAAATTCAAGGTGTAAAATGTCTTCCCACCTACTAGAGCATAGAGCATATATTTTTATATCATATTTGGAAGGTTTATTTGGCATGTTCAAAGCTATAACAACCATGAAATGATGCAAGTTGTCCATCAATTGTCATGTATTCAGATGGTGTATAAATTGTTTGACAGCTCAAAACAAAGCTTTCAAAAATTGAGCAAATAGCAGCCAAATTGTTGATTTTTTTCTTTCTTGGCGAGTCTTTCTTTTGTCAAAACATAGGCAATTTTGAAGGAAACCAAATCTCTTGAGTGTCATTGTTCTCAAAATCTCAACACCACATCTGTCACTTCTCCATAAATTCTTTAGATTCTGACAATTAGAATGATAACGTCCTGCTATGAAGGCTTTTAGTTCAGATCATGAGGCGTCATGATAAATATATTTTAAGTATTGCTACTGGTGTGTATAGAATGTTTTACTTGTATTTCATTATTAGTGTGCTTCACAACACCTGGTAGCATATCGTCCATTGCAAGCAACACTGAATCACAGTGCTGGCATCCAGTCCAATAGGTTTCACCTGTGGCAAGAACCTAATAATATTTTCCATCCTAGTTCTAACGTTGGATCGTTCAGGTATAGATGGCCATTTTGCAGCATTTCAACTAATCAAATATTTATTTACGTTACTGTTTTCTTCTTCATCAGAGTTAAGGTCTTCATCCAAATCAAGGTCTTCATCCTCTCCTTCTCTATCTGTCATGTCTCCATCTCATGCCATAACTTCTTCAGCTTACAGATCCAAGTCATCTTCAGTAGCTGAGTCACCTGGTGACTCACTTTCAACCTCCTCCCATAGTTGAAAAAGCAGATTTTCATGAGACATTGTACTGAATTGGGCTGATTCTACAAGAAAAATCAAAAGAAGACATTCCATAAAACAAATTATAAATGCACAAAAATGGAACATGGAGCGTGAGGTGGGTAAAGACTCACTTGTTCTTGCTTTAACAGACATGTGTACACCTTGCCATCCGTCTACCAAGTGAGTGAGCACAAAGATCGCTTCCTGTGTCCCCCAGCACAGCTAGAGAGACACACCGCTGCCTACCATTAGGCTGAAGTAAGTATTTCCATTAGGAAAGTACAGTTTGGACGTCTGCTACCCAACAAGAGGCACCGAGGGTAAACTTCTCCAGAAGGTGCAATCGGCCTGTGCCCTTGTCACTTTCGGCCAGGTGTCACCTCCTGCAATGCTCTCAGAGGCCCCAAGGGACAGCACAGAGGTAAGCAGGTGGAGGAGGCACTCACAGGTCCTTAAAGGCATCCTCGCGCAGGTGCCGGGGCAGCCTCTCGGTGACCTCTGGCTGGAGAAAGTGGGCTGAGGAACCCCTCAGCACCCTGTCCAGGATCTCCACACACTCCAGGGAGTTCAGCACCTGGAAACACCTCTCCAGCGTGACGAGAAACAGGCTTCGGTTCACACCAGGACTCTGCAAGGCTTGTTCCCGAATCTCTCTCAAGTCAATGACAATGTCCTTCAGGTCCTACAGGAATGAGAGAGGCCAGGGTAACCTTGTGAGCCACCTCTCCTTTCATAAGCCCTGGGAGGGACCACATACTGCGGCGGGGGTACAGTGCAGGATCATTGTTTAATACCATGGCCTTTTCAATACCAGCCCTTTTATTTTGAGACAAGGCCTTACTAAGTGGTTAAGTTGCCCAGACTGGGGCTCTCACTTGCAATCCTCCTGCTTCAGCCTCCCAAAGTGCTGAGATGTGAAAACTGCTATAATTTTCCATCACCTGCAGGACAAAGGCCTTTGCCAGCTCCATCTACCCTAGGCAACTTCTCATTCTCTAGATTCACCATGCCCATCACACCTGAGGCCCTTAGTCTACCTGAAATTCTCACCACTTCCTCTTCTCCTAGTAAAACCCAGCTCATCCTTAAGGCTGGCCTCAGTTGTCACGTCCATGGTGAAGTCTCCTCTGTTCTTCTCTGACCTCCTACTTTAAAGATGCTCGTGAACCTGCCTTTCCTCCAAGCCCATGGTTCTTAACTCTGACTGCATATCAGTATCACCTGGGGAGTCTTAGAAAGTCCTGATCTCCAGCAGCACTACCTAACATCTGATTTAATTGGTCGGGGGTAGAGCCCAGGCATCTGATTCTAAGTGGTAGCCAAGGTTGAGCCAGGGAAGTCCTTGAGGCCCAAGCCATGTGGATAGCAGAGCCCCGGTACCTAGAAGACAATGAAAAATAGCCAGTTCAAATGAATGAAGAATCATTTGAACCACGGAACCCAGGAATACATCAAGGTTTAGTCACAGCCTGATGATCTCTCTGCTCTTCACCCCATGCACCCTCAAATAACAGCCACAGAGCAAATATGCACCACCTCATTTAATTCACATGACAACTCTTTACAATAAGCCCCACAGATACTGGGGTCAGGCATTCCTAAGTTCAAATCCCAGGGCCCTCACAGTTTCTATGTGTGTTCTCAAGAAAATTGTTTTTAAAAGGTCTCAGCTTCCTCCTCTATAAAATGGAGATAAAATCAATACCTACCTTGTAATTTGTATAAGATTTGAACAAGACAATGAATGTCAAATGCCTGGTACCCAGTAATCCTCCACCACTGTCCTGTGCTACTACTATCTCAGCATCACAAGTGACAAAAACAAGACAGAGAATAAGCAACAGGCCCAAACATACCCAGAGCTGAGATATTAAATATGTATTTGATTTCAACCCCATGATTTCACCTTGACTGAGTGTTTCCTAATTTCATCATTAGCTGTCAGTGGCTGAACAGTGGTTAAGATCACACTTAGAGATTCCTAAGCAGGGACCTGCGGATAGAACTTGGGATGTCTGAAAATTGGAGAAAACTGCACTCATTCTTCCCAACACAGAGCTGACAGGTAGCATTTCCTTCAGGGATGAAGGTAGGCAACAAGGCACTACAGAGGTAGCAGAATCTTTGACTTTGTCATCAGACAAAATCACCGTCACTTTCATAATGCATTACAGTTACTGCAGGTATCTTACAACCTCATTTACACTCAATACTTCCTCTAAACTGCAGAAGTTATTAGATGTGCTGCTAAATTGTGATACTTCATGAGTTAATAAAGAAGCCCCTAAATTACGCTCCCCCAAATGTATTTGTTTTGTACATTTTGATAAATGTTTTTCAATGTAACTGGCTTCCTTTGCAATCTTTTGTATTTTAATTTATAGATCTTAAAATATTATTTGGCTGGGCGTGGTGGTACATGCCTGTAACTCTGGCACTCAGGAGGTTGAGGGAGGAGGATCACTGTGAGTTCAAGGTCAGCTTGGGCTACGTAGTGAGTAGGCCAGCTGAACTACATAAAAACAAAAAAACAAAAAGCTGTCTCAAAAAAACAAAAAATAGAATAAAATAAAACATTATTTGGAGGAGCCCGCAGATTTCACCAGATGCCAGCAGGGCTTGCAGCTGGGGTCAGAAACCCAGTTTCCAACCTCAAATTTCCTATTTCCAATCTGTGTCACCTGAAGTTATTTAACCACCCTCTCCAAGCCTCAGTTTCCCCATCTGAATATTGAAATAGTAAGATTTTTATTCATCTCCTTTCAAAGGGTCCTGGAGAAGATTCAGTGGTCTATGCATATTAAACCCTTAGAACAATGTTCAGCAAGCTATTTGTCCCAAAGGTTAAAAGTAGCCCACCACCTGCTTTTGTCAATAAAATTTTATTGGAACACATCCATACCCATCCATCTATAGCCCAGGACCAAGGTTTCATGCTGTAATGGCAGAGTTGAATGTGACAGAGATTATATGACCTGAAAAGCCTTAAATGTTTACTACCTGGCCTCTTACAAAAAGCTTGCTGATCATTCCATTAAAATAATAACTCACACACAGGAAACCCTCAACAAACTTCAAGCCATATTATTGTTATAGCTCATGTGCCCATTTTTGCCATATTTTTGCACTGCCTTTACTATGATGCACTTCATACTTTTCTTTAAGCTGAGTCCTTATTTTTAAAAACACCTTAAATTCATTGCAAAAGAAAATATTAAATCCCTACCAAACTGGTTTGATGTATTTAACAGACATGAAAGTAAGTATATGATTGAGGACTGGATATGTAGCTCAATGGTAGAGAGCTTGCCTAGTATGCATGAGGACCTGGGTTCAATCCCAAGCACTGCAATCAATAAATAAGTTTATGATTATCAAAATGTTTAAATGGTTCATTTCCTTTTAGAAAACACTGCTCCACATTAAATGTCTGCAATAAGGAAAATTCTAAGCCTTATCTTTTTGGGTCTCAAGAACTGTCTGAGTCTCAGAGGCCCTGCTCTGTGATGATATCACACCACTCAGCTTATTTTATGGAAATCATCTGTCTCTCCTTTTGTATGCACTCCAGACTCTAAGCTCCTTGAGGACAGGGCCAGTCTTTCACCTCGATGTCTACTGGGGCATAGTAATTATTCATTAGGTCCTTATGTCCCCTCATGTCTTAGAACCTACAAGAATACAAATGACAAGGTTCTTAATTTGAACTTTAGAGAAAGGAAGAAGGAAGCCTAAGTCCTAAAGCTCCTGGTAGGTTAGAGGAAGGAGAAAGTGAGAGAGAAATGAAAGGCCACAGACTGGGTCAGTTCAATTTGATTCAATTCAACAAGCACCAACTGGCCCTGACTTCTCCTCCTCCAAATGCCAAGAACTCCTCACCAAGTGGTCGTGCTTGTCTTCCAAGAGGCATTTCATGGCAGTGCGAAACTGCTGAACATCAGATTTCCTCAGGTCCGCCAGTAGCTTCTGGGGCTGGTACAGTCGCTGCTGCAGATGATTTTCCATGGCTGCCTGGACACAGGTGATGAGACAGTGGTGAGGATGGAGGGACCAGAGCACTTGGTCAGCACCCTGGCCAGCGGCCCGCCCTGTCTCCCTCCAATTCCCTGCAGAGTCCACAAGCTGGCCGCCTGCACATGGGTTTGGTTTGGCCAGTCCCAAAATTTTGAAATAGCTGCAGACACTGAAAAGTCAACAAATGCTTCCAGAAATCCAAATTTCCAACTTCAACTTGAAAATACAAAGATTGGGCGGCACGAGGTATGCATCCCCTTCTGGTGACCACCAACGGGCCAGGGCCAGCTCCTTGCTCATCACAAACTCAGCCAGCCTGGCTTCCCCTCTACATGGCCCACTTGGTCCCTGCAGGTAGTTAAGGTTGACCTCGGGCCACGAGGTTGAGCACCCCAGATGTGCTGCTCTTCTAACACAAGCTATCAGCCCAGGAGCCAAATTCATGTAGAATGAACAACCACTTAGCTCTGGATGGTTATGTGAGAAAGAAATAAACTAAACTGTTTGAGCTGTTTTATTCTGGAGTCTCTTGAATACAGCAGCTTAGTCTATACCCTAATATACCATGTCTCCATCAAAAGTGAGAAAATGAGAGACAGAAGAGCTTGTATGTTTCAGGAAAAATTGGGCAGAACATTCCTCTTTGTGGAAGTGAAGACTCTCGCTATACCTGGGACACTTCCTCCACTTTCCTGACCCCTGGGTTTGCAGTCTATGAGCAATGGGAGCAGAAAGTGCAGATGGGTCTCCAGTACACACCTGCAGGCTGGGAAGGGTGACGGCAACATTCCAGGAATTCAGGTAGTCCAGGACTTGGCGGGACAGGTCAGCTGTCCACCCATGGGCACTTCAGTCAAAGACAAGGGGGAGAAAGTTAAGACAACTTCCCCTACAAGTGGCGCTGCACTAGCAGTGGAAATGGCATTAGATGCCAGGAACTTTGTACGTGGAAGTAGGAGGCACATTAACCTAGCACAGTGATTAGGGGAATTTCCAATTCAGGAATCTGCCTGGATCCAATTGCCTCAAAATGCTTATCAATTTCTGAGCTGTATGCAGTATTCTAATTCCCCTAACAATCCACAGGGACTGACTAGGGTTGAATATGGGCTTGTAAATATAATTCTCCCTTTACTAAGTATAAAAAGTAGAAGCTGAGATGCCCCAGGAGGTTGCAAGAGTATAGTTGAGAGTGGGCTCCAAACTTGGATTTGAATCCAGGCTCTAGCTCTTTTTTTTTTTTTTTTTTTTGATGCCAGCGATCGAACTCAGGACCTTGTGCTTGCAAGGCAGGCAGCGGAACCACTGAGCTAAATCCCCTGCATCAGGCTCTAACTCTTAGCTGTGCGAACTCAGGCAATTTGCTGAATGTTCCTATGCTTTCATTTCTCTTTTATGAAATAGGGCAAACAACTGTGCGGATTCAAAAGTGGATAGAAAGTGCTTAAAACAGTGCCCAACACATAACAGCACTCGCAGTCTTTGTTGTTGCTGTTGTTGTGGTGGTGCTGAGGCTAGTACCTGAAGCCTTGTGTATGCTAAGCACACACCCTATCACTGAGCTACACCCCTAGACCTACAAAGAACCTTTCATAATCCCATGTTATAAATAGATGTGTGATTGAATGGATAAATAATTTAGCCTGAGAAAATACATCCAAAACTACCAACCGGAGTTATGTTAGGTAGAGGAACGTATATAGGGATCTTCCACTTCAACATAACTGGGTGTTGCTGTCATGGGACTCCAAGGCCCCATTTCTTCCCCTTCATTGTACTCGCCCTATTAGAATTTTTTGTTAATATCAGCCTTCCTACCACACTGCCTGGGTCCCTGCTTCACATCCCCAGTACCTAGCACAGACCTGTGGGCAGCACACAGCAGGACAGGGAAAGGAATAGGCAGGCCCTGGAGCCAGATGCTGGATGAAGTCCCAGCTTCACCGCTGGCCAGCTGTGTGGCCTCCGTTCACCCTCCCTGAACCCCAGCTCCACTGTTCTGTTCAATGCGACGACAACCAGTCCTCCTTCGCAGGCCGCTTGTGTGGATTACATGTATTTCTATGCACCAAGCTCTTGCAACAGTGCCTGCGATGTCATAAGCATTCCATAAATTTTGGCTCTTCTGCTACAGCAGAGGAGGAATAAATATTTCCTGAACAAGTGTGTCAATTCTACAACACTTGTGCATTGGTTGACATTTTGTGACATTTTTTGTAATGAGCACATATTATTTCCTACTATTAAGAGATTTCCTTTAAGAATTATTATTCAAAATCTATCCCATCCCTTCCCCTCCCCTCTAGGGCAGGTTACCTTTGAAACTGTATGAGATCCAGTAGTGCTACAATGGGAATAAAATGAAAAGACAACTTTAAAGGAGTCATTCCAGAGAGATCACAGCTGCATTCTGTTTGAAATTCATAAAAGATGCAAGTGGGAACAGAGTGGGTACATTACCATTCAGATAGCTTCCCTCTATTATTTCTTCCTAAAAGGCAAAGAGATAACATCAAGTATAACATTCAAAAGTTAGCAGCTCCAATGGAGGGAATTTTGATCAAAAGTAAATGGAACACTCACCGCCATTTTTTGCAACAGTGGATGCAAATCTGTAAGAAAGCCATTGAATGTACAAGTAGAAGTGAATTGTGTGACCTTCAAAATACAAATACAGATGAGAAGAGCTCCCCCAAAAGCTACTCATAAAAGAAATGTTCAGTGAAGTTTAATTTTACCTGTGCCCAGTGTGAGAAAACGCTGGTCTGAAAAGCCCTTTTAGAATAACCCTGAAAATCCTACTCATCCACCCACCTCTTATCACCATCCCTCCCCGACCCCCCACACACACTCACACATGCACACATGCATACATCTCAAAATTCCTGAAAGCCTACATTGATCTATCCCACTACATTCCCTAAGATGCATAGAAATCATGGAAGGGATTCCTCCCTCAGGACTTACCCTGCCTGGAATTTGAAGCTTTCTGACCTGTCACTCCATGGCTCAGAAAAAGGATCAGGAAAAGAGACCATGTCCTAGGTTCCTGAGACATTCTCCTGGAGTTAATTCAAACATAGAAATGGCTCAGGCTTGTTTTGTTCCAACGTTGGAGAATATTCAAAAGACAAAAGGGTGCATGGAGACCCAGAGTGCCTTGACAGTTTTTTAAAAGTTAATTTCAAAATTCCAGCTACTTTGCTCTATTTAATCCCCTATCCTAGTTTAAGACACATTCATCTCTCTCCTTAGTGACTACAATGGCCTATCTACATTCCACCCCTCTCCATCCTACTGATTCCAGTGAAGAGGAGTGGTTACAAAATAGACACTATTATATCTCCTATGAGATTTGTATCCAAAATAGAAAAAGAATGCTTATAACTAAGAAAAAAAAGTCAAAGGAGGAAAAGACATAAAGTTAAAATTCTTTAAAATAAATATATAATCGGGCTGGGGATTTAGCTCAGTGGTTTCGCCGCCTGCTGCACAAGTGCAAGGACCCGAGTTCGATCCCTGGTACCAAAAAAAAATAAAAAAATAAATATATAATTGTCTAATAAACACACAAAGGATGATCACAGCATTAGTTAACAAGAATACGCAAATTAAACCACAACGAGACCACTAAAAACCCACTAGAATGGCTAAAACTTAAAACAACAGTATCAAATGTTGGCAATGATATGGCACCACAGGAACTCTCCTATGCTGTTGATACAGCTGCTTTGGAAAACTGGTAGTCTTATAAAATTAAATATGTACTTATGATGAAGGAATTCCAATCCTAGGTATTTACCCAACAGAATTGAAAACATGTCCACACAAAGTGTGCTCAGCTTCATTCATAATACTCAAACAATGGAAACAACTCAAATATCCAACAACAAATAAAAGGTTAAATAGGGTATATTCACTCAATGGAACACTATTCATCAATAAAAATGATTAAGTTAGAATTTTGATTTTAGCCACAATGGAGTAGGTGGCAGGGGGTAAACCCTCCTGCCTTAAGCAAATAGGAAACCAACCAAAACATATGACACAAAGGCTTCCAGACATCAGGCAACAGGTAGCACAAGGCTGAGATCCTGGAAAGAACAGAAACAAAGGAGTTGAGCAGCCATTGGCTGCATATTGATGTAAGAAACCACCTGGGACTGGAGACAAATATACCAACAGCCAGGACAATCCTTCGAAGTCACAGGGACGGAGAATAGTTCCCGCAGATGGAAACTTCTCCACTGGGCCTCCAGGACAGTCCTCAGAGAAGACAGACCACATCAGTTTCCTGGGTTTGATATTGTACTACAGCTATGCAAGACGTAACTGAGGGAAACAAGGTGAAGAGCACATGGGACCTCTTTGTGTATATTTTGTAATTGCCTATGAATCCACATCTTAGGCACCCAAAGGAAAAAAGAGCATATGATATACATAGAAAAAGGAATAAACTTCTGATAGATGCAACAACATGGATGAACATCAGAAACATTATTCAGAGCAGAAGAAGCTAGTCACAAAAGAGACTATATCACATAATTTCATTTTCATGAAACTCTTAAGATGGACAAATAATCTCCAGGGATGTAAGAGAAATCAGAAGTCTCCTGGGGCACATTTAGGGTGCAGTGAGTGTTTACTGCCAAGGGGCACAAGGATACTTTTGGGACAGCAGCAATTCTGTATCCTGATTGTGATGGTAGTATCTGCATTTATCCAATCACATTAAACCACTCACTTAAAATGGGTATATCTTATTGTATGTAAGTTATACCTTATAAAATGTTGCTATCCAAAGAGAAAGGAAAAATCATGAGCTATGGAGCCAAACCACCTGATTTCAATTCCATCTCTGCCACTTACTAGCTGTGTGATATTGGACAAGTTTCTGTGCTTCACTTTCCACATCTGTAAAATGAGGTTAACAATGGTATCCTCATTATACTCTTTTAAAAGGAAAAAAATGAGTTAATAATGGCAAGTCATGCAGAATGGGCTTTGCTCAGTGGGAGCTCTATATGTAGATTTTTTAATGCAGAGCATAATGCCAATTTTAAAATAAAGGTACATTGTTGTAGGTGTATAATACCCATATATATTCTTTAGAATAGTTCTATTGATGAATTATTAATTTTAAGTTTATGAGTTTATTCTATTAAACAATGAGTACTTAACAGAAAAAAATTCAAAAAGTATTGATTTTTATATTTATTGAGTGTTTACAAAAATGCATCAAAATTTTCAACATCAACTGTTTTCTGGTGTGCAGTCTAAATAATAACAACAGAAATAAATTCCTATATAACTACAATGAAAATGCCAAATGCAAATACAGCAAAAATAATCTTTATTTCAATTACCACACCTCAGGCAGTCTTCACACATGACTACAGCATGTTCCATACATACATATATATCGCTTACACTGACAGCATATGTGTTTTGCTTTCCTGGCCTGTTTGTAGGACATACTTGACATCTCACTGGTCTTGCTGTTTTGTCAGGAGGTACTTATTATAATATATAATGTGTAGTTAACAGGAACATAAAATACCAATAAAATAAAGTATTAATATGTATTGTGCATTTAGGAATAAACACCTTCACAATCAGCTGTGTACTTGCTTACAAAACCTAAATGAGAACATCAGAAATAAATTCCTATATGCACTTCAATGAAAATACCAATAGAACCCTACAGCAAAAAATAATCTTTGCTTCAATTGTCACACCCAAGGCTGTCTTCACACAGGACAACTGCATGTTCCATGCGCAAGTATTGCTTACACTGATAGCACATATGTTTTATTTTCCTGTCCTCTCTTGTAGGGCACAGTTGCCATCTTTTTTGTTTTCCTGTTGTCATAGTAGGTCTCTGGGATGCTGTGCCTGCCTTTTCACCTGTCAGCTCACCAGTGTGCTCCATAATTTTTTTGTGTAGTTGCCCAGGCAGAAACATTTTGGTTTCCCTTGGCTGTAAATGATCTCTTATGAGTTCCAGCCCCAATCCTCTAAGAAAATTTCTGTGATATTTATCACTTGTTATTTGCTTTATAAACTATCAAACTATTTATGCCACACATGTTTAGGATCCAGTAAAACACAACCATTGGCTAATGCTTTGTGTTTCAAGTGACATCGGTTGCTGCATCAACAGCATCTACTCCGCCTTTGGTTTTGTTGTAAAAAGTTACTATCTCAGGCTTCAGTTTTGTCAAGGCTTTAGTATAGTTAAAAACAAAAGAGCTGAGTCACTTCTTTCCTTTCCCTTGTTCAACTGTAAATGCCACATCACAATATACTGCCTAAAGCTACAGAAACCACAAAATGCTGCAAGATGTTGTCAATAGTCATGTATTCAGATGGTATGTAAACTGCTTAACCTTTTGAAACAAAATTCTCAATGAGCAGATAGAACCCAGATTATCAGTTCTTTTTCTTCCATGGTGGTGGTTTTGTCAACAAACATCAGGCAATTTTGAAGGAAACCAAATCTCCTCAGTGTCATTGTTATTCTACAAAGTTCAAGCCCACACCCATAAGTCTTTTATAACCATAAGTCTTTACATTTCTGTGATTACCATGAGAAAGCCCTGCTAAGTACAGCAGATCTATAAATGCTTTCAGTTCAGCTAGTGAGGTGTCATAATAAACACATATTTTAGTATGGCTTCAGCTGTATACAGAACGTTTTACTTGTATTTCATCATGTGTGTATTTCACAATATCTTGTGGCATTTCATCTCACAAACAATTTCCAATATTGAATGCCAGTGCTGGCATTCCATCCAATATGTTTCACCCCTGCCAAGATCCTCACTATATTTTCAGACGTAGTTTTTCGGGGGTTTTTTTGGTCTTTGTGGGTCTTTGCTCTCGCAAGGCAGGAGGCAGACCCACTGAGCTAAATCCCTGGACCTCAGATGTAGTTCTAACACTGGATCGTTCCATTTGGTTGTGAGACCATTTTGTACCATTTCAACTAGTCATGTACTAACATTGCTGTTTTCTTCATCATCTGTATCAGGGAGGTCTTCATACCCTGTCTGTATTTGTCAATTCTTGCTCCCTTTCACTGTCACAAGAACTTTGGCTCACTTGGCCAAACATATCTGTGCACAAGTCACCTGATGATTCACTTTCAACCTCCTCCAAAACTTGCAAATCTGGTTTTTCATGTGCTATCATACTGAATTGGGCTACTTCTACCAGAAAAATCAAAAGAAACCTTTAAAAAACAAATCCTAAATGCACATCTGTTGCTGCTTTGGAGCTCATGTACACACCTTGCCATTCATCTGCCAAGTGGCTGAATACACAGATGGGTTCCTGTCATCTCCAGGCCTAGCTGTGAGTCACACCCACATTCCATTATGGTAAAGTACATGTAAACATAGGTAAAAATCCCAGTTTGACACTTGCACAGGTGCACACACCTTGCCATTCTTTGTACCAAATGGGTAAACACAAAGATTCCTTCTTGGTCCCCAGGTGCAGCTACCGAGATGCACAGCCAGCTACCATTATGCTAAAGTACAAATTTACAGTAGAAAAGTATGGGATGGGTTGTTGTTACCCAGTGTTACACCCTACAGCAAACAAGCCAGATTAACATTTTCAAATTTCAAATCTATTCATTTCACCATGTCTCTATTTCTCTCAGAATAAATCCCAAGACTTTTGCAGCGGCCTTATCACACACAAGCCCCTTCACCCCTCACAACCCAGGCTCCTGCTCAGGCCATCCTTCTGTCCCACCCAGGGAACATTTTTCCCATATCAAGGTCCTCTCAGAAGGCTTTTCCCCTCCCTCTTTGCCTGGCTAACTCTCTTTGCAAATCTCAAGACTCCAATGAGTCCTTCCATAAATTCTCTAAGCCAAGACAATTAGCCAGAAGAAAAGCCCAACTCTTCTCTTTTATAGCACAGCTATCTTACCTGTTTATATCTATGTAATTATTTCATGCATTCATTCATCAAACATGTATTGAACATTACTATGTGCCAGGCATTATTCTGTACTCTGAGGATATAGCAGTGGGCAAAACTAAGTCCC